TGCGCTCCAATTATTTCCTGCAATTCAGACACATCAAAAGTGGAAGGCTTGTCAGTCATTTGTGGTTTTACTAATCATACTTGTTCGCAGTAACATTGTTACGTACCACAGGTAAGCGGTTCGCCCCCCTTTTCTAAATTAATCTGCGTGTATTCTACAACAAAATAAGGTGTGTGTCATAGAGTAAATTTCTATATAGAGTGTGTCGATACGGTTATATTGTAAATAGGTTATCCTCCAAAACTAATTTAGGTTCTATTTTTTAGTCTGTCACATATGGATCATTATTTAGTGACATCATTTTTGATCCTATTCTTTTTTCACAACACTCAGCGCAGTAGGAAACGGCGAGGTGACCGCTTAAACCACTACACCATCCGTGCACTCGATGCTTCTTGCTTGAATATCAAGAATATACTCATAACTTTCTTAATTTCTATGATGGATATAAGAAGCTGGTTATCGCTCAACAATAAGTTATGCGATTTATGGGCAGATTATCTAATGATAATATATTGTTGTTGTAAAAATAGAAAACGAAATGATCATTAAAACTAACACGGGAAGTCTTCTTTGATGTCCTAGGTCCCCTAAATGGGTCAGAGGGCCTCCACAGCAAGTCCTAATCTCCAGTCTTTCCCCGTGAGACCAACAAATGACACCCCCAGTGGTGTCAGGAGAAATGGTCTTGATCACCATGACACCCCCAGTGGTATTACAGGGAATTAGGATATTCCCTGTGACACCATCGAGTATTGGTGATGGATCATTTGGTGGTGTCACGGGGAAAGAATGCTAATCTCGACTGCCAATATTAGGTACAGTTTGTCAAATGAATAGTCAAAATAAGATTCAGATAACTTTATTTATTAGGTACTAAAATATATAGTCCCAAATTTGACACAACTGTATTTTTTTGTACATTAACTGGGCTATACACAGTTAGGAAAAAAACGCCCGTTACTCTTTCGGTACAACCTTATAAAATTCAATAAAATAATATATTTTTTAAATCTTTACAATCCCAATACCTACCTAGTCTAGAACTGCTACACTGTATAAATTCGACACAATATTTCTTGTATATTTACATTTCATTAAACAACATTGCACTAACAAACTTCAACACATCTTAGATTCCATTAATAGAGTATCTGTAGTCTCACCAAGACTACCGTGTTGAAGTATCCAAAATGGCTTCTAATTCAAGTACCTTTTACATTATTTCTTACAAAGACCACTTCAGTAGCACATACAAATTGACGAGCAGTAAAATCACCCTTCTACGCTTACATACCCCTTGATATTTAGTATAGTGAGCAACTTTTATCAAATACTAAGCGCCTTACAATGTTTCTTTGTAATAACAGAGCTTAAAATAAATAAAAAGGTTGTATTTTTTCATTCTAGTATAAAGCGGAGTCACCTTCCTTCCGAAACTTATTCGAATTTGAAATTTTTGATGGCAATACATTCTTTGGGTGATGAAAACCATAGTATTACGTAATGAAGAAGTGTCGTTAAGTCTCTGTTCAATTATGATATTAAAGAACATACGTGGGTCTTTCATGGCGGTAAAATCGTATCGCATGAGTAGACTCCTAGAATACGAAATGATTCGCATTAATGATGTACCGGATCGTGAATCCGCGGCTACGAATACAGAGATTACTGGCTAAATCCGAGAATACGGATTAATTTATAAATGAATTGGTGTCAATGCGAACTTAAATCGACCACTTACAATAAAAATTAGTTAATCCGTCATATTTCACTATTATTAACAAAGGTGCTTAGTTATTGCGTTTTTAACGTCTAATTCAATGAGCGAGGCTTACAATTGTCGCATATGATGTGTAAAATCCAACATCTTACCTAACATCGGACGGACAACTTCAGTACCGCGCGCGTTCATTGGTCGAATTTGATAGCGTGCGTTTCCGCGGCTTCATGTTACACACTTCCGTCTCTTTGCTTGTAACCACTCCCACAGATTGCAGGAGAGCGAGAAGAAAGATGTTACTCATTAATATCGAGAAATTACTTCAATAATTTAAAGATTCAAGCAATAGCAACTCAAATATTTGATCATTTCATACCAATATACAATTAAAATTTCGTAAAACGTAATAAAATATATTAGGTCCTTACAAATGAAATTAGCGTTTTGTCGTACTGACCACTTTGATCTTAAATATCTTCTCTTTGGTTAAGAATTCCAAATTTAAATTTATAAATTCATTTAGTTGGTACATTTGAGTTTTGAAAACAGTCATTCATTTGTTTTTTCCTCATTATTTTTTTCCTTAGCGTCGCTTATTACCGCACAATGGAAAACATGAAATATCGGTAATATTTACGAGTACGAGTTCTACCGTGGCACCAGTGCTGCAAAAACAGCTCGAAGAATTAATGATGTGTATGGCACTGGTGTCGCAAAAGAAAGCACGGTACGTTTTTGGTTTCAACCTTTTCATTCTGGAAGTTTCGAACTTCAGAATCAACCCCGAGGACAGCCGGAGGCCATAGTGGAAAATGAAGAATTAAAGGCTATTGTGGAAGCGGTTCCATCACAAAGCACTTCAGAGATAGCTGCAGACGTCGGGGTAGTGATAAAACTGTATTAATCCACTTGAAGCAAATCGGAAAAGTAAAAAAACTTGAACGATGGGTACCTCATGAATTGAGTGAATCGAACGTGCAAACACGCGTCGACTGCTATGTTACTTTGCTCAACCGACACAATATTGAAGGGATTTTAAATCGATTCATTATTTGTGATGAAAAGTGGATACTGTACGATAATCGGAAGCGCTCGCTTCGCGCTGAACCCTGGAGACCCACCCAAATCTTGCCCTAAACGAAAATTTACTCAGAAAAAGTTACTTGTGAGTGTTTGGTGGACTAGCGCAGGTGTCGTACACAACAGCTTTCTAAAATCTGGCCAAACGATTACGGCAGATATCTATTGTCAGCAATTGCAAACCATGAACGAAGAACTAACTGCTAAACAACCGAGATTGGTCAATCGCTTTAGGCCACTGCTGCTTCACGACAACGCAAGACCACACACTGCACAACAAACAATCACTAAGTTAGATGAGCTACAATTGGAATGTCTGTCATCCACCGTACTCCACGGACCTTGCTCCAACAGATTACCATTTTTTCCGGAATTTGGACAACTTCTTACAAGGAAAAAATTCAACTCCGATGCGGCAGTCCAAACCGCCTTCAAAGTTTATTGATTCGCGCCCCATGGTTTTTTTAGTAAAGGGATGAATGAACTACCTATGAGATGGCAAAAGTGCATAAATAACAACGGTGCATACTTTGATTAATTAAATATATTTTACAAAAAAAAATTGACTTTATATTCCACCCGTACAAAACGCCAATTTCATATGTAAGGACCTAATATTAATCGAAAATTTCCGTGTAAGAGATGCGAGCACAGATCTGCTTTTGCTCGGATATTTTCGGATCGGACACAAATATCCAAAACATCACTAATTCGAATCAAACTTCGTTCACTTCACAATTTGGGGTACAAAGTCAGCAGAGTTTGTAAGCAAAAAGTTTGCAACCATTTATTGAAGTTGTGAGTTTGTGAGAAATACTAAATTAAATAGAGTACTAGATTTTATTGGATAAAAATTCTATTAAAGGTGCTTCAGTGGGTGCACAGGCAAATTTTTAGTAACATTGATATACATTTAAAAAATGTGAAACTTAACGTCGTAATTAACGGACGTTACCTTGACTAATCTCTACCTTTTCATATTTTTTAGTGAAATCATCATCTCCCATTATATACTAATTTAACTTCTTCTCATCACCTGAAGGCCATAAACCATTTTGATATCATGGCCGTGAGAAAAAAATCTAGGCTATAAATAAATATAATTTATAAATATGTTCTAGCATTAATATAATTAAAATGCAAGTTTGCAATGCAACCATGTGCAATGTAAAATGCCTGTGGGGCAGTTTAGATGATAAGCCAACTTGCTTTGGATTTATTCCATTATTTTTAATCGTATATCAATGTTTAATCCCCATACATGAGACAGTTAATATAATAAATAAAATAATACCAATAAAAGTTGAGTATGTTTCAATATACAATATAGTTTTTGAACACATTAAAACTCGAAAAAGTAACTAACGGTAACATTTATTTACACTAGTAACACTTTGCACAATAATTTAATTACAAAGTATGTCCAGATACTCTATTATCACAACAAATGCAGTGATTATTTCATCTAAATCAACAACTACAGTGAAGAATAAACTAAAAAAATTAGTATATTTCAAAATATTGAGTTGATAACTTGGCAAATGTGTGGTTGCATGATTGTGATACCTGCAAGAAAAAGTCGTGTGTTAATTAATTTCTTATCATCATGTATATGAAGAAGAGGTTGGACAATAAGACGGAACCCCGCGTCACGCCAGTCAGAAATTCAGGTAGACGTGCTGACGTCTTTAAAACCAGGTTTTCAGATCAATTTTTAAGCAATTTCATGAAATAAATATTTATTGATTTGACTTGACTTTCAATCCTTCGACTGACAAAACCGCCAAGTTTACATGACATTATATTTATGAATTTAATTGGACGTACCTACATATGCAAAGACTTAATTGGAGAAAGGAAATGAACTAATAAGAAAAATAATTAATTTAATTTTACATTAACTAATTGTGTAAAACCAAACCAAAGTTCAACGGAATTAAACAAAATACGATTAAAAGATTTAATAAAATGAATTGTTTTCTAAATATGAACGATTTCAGATTTTTACTACTTTTGCTTAGTAAACTATTGAATATCCATACAAAGGATGAGTTTTTGACACAAAACTCACGAAATCGACTTGTTTATCCAATAGGATAAATGATTTAAAAGCTCAAAATTGTTTTACTGTATTATACAGTTGTACTACTACTAAGGTAGTAAGTGACGTAGTAAGCGATATAGAATGAACTCACTTTTAGCTAAGTTCGAAGCCGGCGCCCGACTGTATGGCGTAGAGCAGCTTCTCCGCGAGCTGCTCCTCCGAGTGAAACTCGGGCAGCTTCAGCAGGTTCATACACGTTGACGACGACGGCAGCCGGTCCGACGCGCCCGCTGATTGGATACAGAATGGTGGGTGTAGATCCTGCATTCATTTTAAAACTTAAAAACTGTACGTAACCTTCTAGAATACACCATTATTTTTAAAAGATTTTATTTATTTGATGTCTGACGTTGAAGGGTCTATAATAGCTTATTTATACAATTATTTAACCACCACTTACACGTTTTTCATAAGAACATTAAATCACGAAGATTTCATACATGTGTGTTTACCAATAAAAATATGTGTTTGGATCATACCTTAAAACCGAGAAGTGGCGGTCTCGAACAACTGGTGACAAACTTGAGTAACTGACGTCGCTGATCGTCTGTAAAGTTCTGGAGAACTTTCCAGAAGCACTGCACAGTTGGGTGTGTAATTGAGAACCCCCCTAAATATAAAAAAAAAGAAGTTCTTTTATTTTTCCTACAGTAAGGTCTCAAAAAAATTAGGTTCTGTTAATTCAAAACCACAGTTTAATATAATAGCCATCAAATTAAAATGCATTTCCGTCTATTTTTAGTTGCGAATTAAAGTTTAGTCTTTCTTAAAAAACATTAAAAATGGAAAGAAAAACAGATAAAACGGCAAAACCAATGCCTTGTCTCAGTTTTTTTTTCTATTATTGTATTTTGCACGAATTAAAAACTTTGGTTTCATTTTTTAAGAGACCTATGCAATGATAAGTGAGTGTAAGTATTAGAAGTCTGGTGTTATAACAGAGGTATAACTTGGAAAGGGTATTCATAGATTCCGGAACATTGCCGTAGGAGAGCCATGCTTCAGCACCAATGGCCGGCTCGACCGGAGTCATATCAGGGCCTCGCATTAAACCGGAGTTAAGCAATCCTTTTTCGTTGCTTTTCAACGAATGATTGACCACCCTATTCCGGGGTGGGGGAACTCTAAAGGCGGCCATGCACTTGTGACTCTTGAGTTAGTTAGAGTTAGAGTGTTCAAGGGCGCCGATTGACACTTACCATCAGAGGCCCAAGTGCGAGTTTATTTCACATCGATCGCTCTTAACTGCAAGCGCGTTTAGCGTTGCGATTGGTGGAAATTTCAGTGCGGGCAAATGCGGTCACCGTGAAATAAACTCGCACTTGGCCCTAAGGTGACCCGTCTGCTCGGTTTTGCCCGTAGCCATAAGAAAAGACACATTAACCGCGTATCCAACAGATCCAGAGGAGCACAGTCGCAACAATCGGTATGACAAAACTTTTCGAAGTTACAGATATTTAAAAAAAGATGGTACCTATATATTTAAATATACAACTGACCTGCATATTGCGTGTGTCTCTTCAAGTCGTCCAGGTCGATAGGTACCTCTGCTCCTGATATAAGAAGCTGCAACTCACGACACGAGAACATTCGCAGCCACTCCGCAGACACTACCGATGTAAGCCCGCTTTTGAATGCGTTGCATTGAGATCTAATTTGTCTATAATAAACATAGGTATAAGTTATTTATTTATTTAGCCAACCTGATTACCGGATAGGGGGGGGAGGGTTTAAAGGACGACAACAGACTTGCGAGTCTTGTGACATCTCGTTTGCCCCCTGTGCCAAAAAAAAACGGATTTCAAGCATTAAACATGATATTTCGGATAACTGACTCACAACGCCATCTAGTTTCAAACTAAGCAGAGCTTATACTATGAAAGCTAGAATACATATTATACATAGAAAACACCCAAATTCCGAAACAAATATTTGCAGACAATCAGGCCTGTTGGAGGCCCTGGGCAAATTAGCTTAATGGGGCCCCTACGAACTTAGTTGAGCACTATTTTGTTGGAATAGACAAAAAAAGTATTGTAGTCAGTCAATACAAATGAATTTTTCGAAATAATTATGTTTTTCGGTGATAAATATTGATTTTCGATTGGTGATCTGGCAGAAATCCGGCCCCTATCGATCGAGGGGCCCTGGGCAAGTGCCCAGAGTGCCCAGTGGGAAAGAGGGGCCTGCAGACAATACAAATATTTGGTCCGATCCGGGAATCGAACCCGATACCTCAGCACAGCAGCTCAGACGCGAAGCAGTCAGGAATAGTCAGGATCAGACAAGTCATGATAAATCCTGATAACGTTTTAAACCTACTCTTAAAGTCCAGGTTATGGCTGATACATTGTTATTACTTGTGGTGACTTGTCGAGCTTGGCGTAATAGATTTTTATGATAATAGCCTTTTATGAATAATTTAGTTAATAACAATTCCACTTACTTATTCAATTTATAATCTGCGACTAGATGAATGTATTCTATCCTATTTTCTGCTGTTACGGGAATGTTAGCACCACCCGGTTTCAATTCCTCTATCTGGAATAAATGAATAATAACAAAATAAATAAATAAAATTGAAGTGTCTGTTTGTAATGTTAAAATAATAAGTTTCTTTTAATGCTTACACGGTTATTTGCCCGATACCTATGCCGAAGAACTAGTTTAAATATTTTTTGTGTCTGTCTGTCTATTTGTTCCGAGTATTCTTTAAAACGGCTGGGCCGATTTTGATAATATTTTACTACCAGGTAGATGTCTACATAAGGAGTAACTTAGGCTATTTTTCTTCTCAGAAAAACACTCTACCCGGTCCGGGCATCGAACCCGATGCCTCATGGACTGTATTCGCGTAACGTACTACACCACTAAGGCAGCGCTTTGCAAATTCCACACGAACGAAGTCGCGGGTACCAGCTAGTAGTAAATACAAATACAAAGTTATTTATATCACACTAATATTATAAAAGCAAAAAGACCAACTTCGATAAAATATGGTATGAAGATAGCTGACACCCTGATTAGCACGTAGGGTATTTTTATCCGACCAGGACGGTCTGGAGGGTTAGACCGTACCGCATTAGATGTTTCACATAAAAAATCCAAATGAAAGTGGCGTTTTTGTCGATTGAAGAATGTAACAATTAATTATTTTCCAAATTTCAAACCATCACCAATGACACATACCCTCTGTTCCCCTAACTCATCAGTGAGTATAGTAAAGTCCAGGCCGAGGTCGGGCACGTCGAGCCTGTTGTGAGCGCGCAGCAGCAGCAGGCCGCGGTGCAGCGCGGGGTCGAGCGAGGCCAGCGCGTGCACGTCCGCCTCGCCGCACCCACACAGCTTGCCCAAGAAGAATTCCGCTAGGGGCAGCTCCACTAAGAGATTCTCGTACAATGCCTAAAAAATATTTTAGAAGACTTTGACGTTATACCTACTAACAAAGCATAGTCCTAGTTATTTGATTCATGTTTCTTTAGAATAGGACTTCCATATTCATATCTAGAAATAAAATTATTACATTATTCATAATTTATTTATTTGCTGATCAAAGGTGTACAACGGTGTTACATTTTTTCTTATACATGTCCTCTTTCGTGGTATCTTTAAAGTTTATAATCGCATGTATTTAATTGTGCATGCCTTTGATTAGTCTATCTTTTATATACTATCCTTTATATTTTATGTATACTGTTGGCGTGTCTATAATAAATTAATAAAGTTTCGTGAAATGGAACAGTTTATCTAAGGATATACAACCTCAACAACAACGGAATAAGTTATCCGTATCGTCTTTTTTGGTATATTTAAAAAATAATATATTACTGATGAAAGATATTTATTTTTATCAGGATCAGATAACGAAACAAGCGTTTTAGACGAGTTTTTGACTTTAACATTCAAAATATGTGTACGATCTCCCTATCGTACGTACAAATAGTTATTACTTTTTACATACTTTTGGCTACGCGTTATTATTGTTATAAATACATTAATTAATACTTTATAACTTAGTACGGCACCAACTATTAGACTTACAAAGCACAATCGAGGAAAGATTCGCTACTCTATACATTTTTATATATGTACATTTATGGTCCTTCGAGCCGGACCATAAATGTATATAAAAACGAAAGTCCGAAGGACTCCGGACTCCGGCTCGAAGGACCATAAATGTACAGGCCAGTTAGCTTGTACACTGTAGGATAGTAGTTGAGTAGTTAGTTAAGTTGGTAGTTTACTAAGTACGCCGGAAGAAGCCAAACGTAATAAGTATATTTGAGTAAAAGTATATGCAACAAATCTATATTTAGGGTCTAAATAGCCTTAGCTTCTATCATGACGGTTTCAAACAAATGCTGTAGAATTGAATAAAATAAAGTATTTAGCACTGACCTTGCCCAACATTCTGCCAATAAAGTAATAATGCATCGGGAAGTCGTCGTACAATAAATGTACGCCTGGATTTGGATATAACATGTTGTCTATCGTTAACCGGAACAAACCTCTGTTGGGATCGAATGCTGATCTGAAAAAATATACTATAGTTAGGTGGCTGACTTGAACAAAAAAAAAACAAAAATTAAATTAATTGCCACAATATTACAGGTAGAAGTAAAAATAAAAAGAGTAGCTACTCTACGACTACAAGAAAAATAGTGCATCATTATGAAGTTCTCGGGGCTGTATCTCTCAGGTACAGGTATTAGGTTTCTCCTTATCAAACAACAAAACTATATATTCTATAGAATTTTGTATGAATAAGTTATGACGCAATATCTAACTATTGGCAAATCGATTTATCTTTAATATTTGCCTTAAAATAATAAAAAACTAATGCATATAATTTCTGACCATCTTAATTCAAATGACCTGCCTAAATAATTAATTTTTATTAAAATAAACAGCCCTATTATAGAATAATTTTGGCTTCAGAATGTTCCTTAGTCTACCATTTGTCAAATAAATTGAACTCAGTTGTACTATAGAGCGTGTATCTCTGTTATCCGTTTTTTTGTTTTTGTAACAATTGTAATGAAGTAGTTATTATATGCTTACTTGAGGAGTTCTGACAAGAATTCTCTAAAAAGGCCACCGCCGTCAACGCCCGCTTCTTCAGCACCAGCTTGATTAACGAGCTGTACCCGCAGTTTCAATTTAAGATCTGGATCTACAAAAACAAAATAATAACTAGCCATTTTGATTTTAGAATGTCTATAAAAAAAAGAGGTTTTGACCTTTGATTTTGATGGGGGAAGGACTCAACGGTTGGCAACTCACTTGATACTCTTGAGTTGTCAATGGGCGGCGGTAGTACCTTACCATCAGGTGACCAATTTTGTTTATTTGCCCTCCTATGCCATAAAAAAGTACAATTGTTCGTACTACGATTAGATATTGTAGTATACTTACGATTTTCTGGTCGCAATTTATCAAAAGCGTCTTCATATAAATGCGTGCGCCGCACACTGATATTTATTGACGGGCCTTCATTGAAGTTAGCCATTTCATACCAATGGTCGCGTTTTTCTCTGAAATATCGTTACTTATTAAAAAAATTATCCAAAGGATTACAAGTCATGTAAATACTTCCCACAGTTTTTTTTAAGTGTTGATCACACCAATAGAAAACATATCTATAAAAATGCATTTTAATTTAGCCTAAAGGTCTATTGCTGTTGTCTAAATAAGACGAAAATTAGATTGAAACATGTTTGTAATAGCTAGTGCTGGATACTTAACTCCATTCAAAAACCTTAACTGTTAAACAATAAATGTTTTTATAGGGGGTAGATTGAAATCTGCCAAATTGTGAAAGTACTTTACAGATCTACAGCAGTAATTACAGAGCATCACACCTGATTAATGGTCCGTCATCACCGTACAAACTTATTTTTTTATATTCGTTAGGTTACTGATTAAAAACGCCAAAACAACAACGGGAATTTAAATCTGTATCTGTATACCAGATACAGACTTAAATTCCCAGCTGTTTCTGCGGATGTTGGCATGTATTAATAACTATTTATATCCAAATTTTTTGGGAGTTAATTCTTCAAATAGATAACCTACCATCGTTCAATATGTAGAAAGTGTAGTGTGTTTATGTATAAAGTTAGTAAATACCTGGTAAGCAGTCCTTGGAATATAAGAACTCTAGTCGAGAACGGAACCACAAATGGGATTTCCCTCAGAATTGTGATCGTTCTCAACTCTTTTATTGTCAGCGGTGGTCCTTCATCTGTGAAAAATGTAACGATCAATTAAGTTAAGTTCAGAAGGCTATCCAAATCTTTCCAGATTTTGCAGTAATTTAAATGTAAATGTAGACACGTTCTGTTGTGAGTTATTTACTAAGATTTTATTTTTAAATGTAAGGTAGGATAGTGTCTATAGATTCGTACTTTTTGTGAAGTTATACTTTAGGGGGTTGTAGTAGCCATCATTGCTGATAGATTTCACTATTAAAATACCATATCCCAAACCTACCACTTTCAAGATATTGGATTTTAAGATTTTTATGAAAATAGCCACTTTTGGATTTTACAATTTTTTTTAAACCCATAGCCTCTTTTTTTACAGTTTTTGTGTTATTGATATATTGTTTTATAATTTCCATTACCAACATAATTGTTAACTTAACAAAATGGGCCGAAACAGATGGTTGATAGCAGCAAAATTAAATATTTTTTTAATCTATGACAGTTTAGTTGCAGATGTGTTAAAAACCATGAACGTATTGTCAGCTATCTAACAAGGTATATTAGTCTAAGATGGTATCAGAATTCATGGAAAAAATTGAGATGAATGACCGGTACCTTAGGAATTAGCGTGTAGTACCCAGTAAAAACTTTGCTTGAACTGTTTTCTTTTCTATTCGTGATTAACTATTGCTAACTAGACTTTGATTTATGCTTTGGATACTTTTGAAGATGACCGATATATAACGATATAACGAAGAAATAATATTTTCAACATATTCATCGTTTTGGTTGTATTTAATACTAACTACAATTTTGGTAATAGAAATTATAGAACAATATATCAATGATATAAAAACAGTATAAAAACGAGGTGTAAGGTCTAAAAAAATCGTATAAGCCAAAATTATAGCAATTTTTATAAAAATCTTAAAAGTTTAATTTCTTGAAATAGGTTAGGTTTTGGATATGGTATTTCCTAGTGAAATCTATCAGAATTGATGGCAATTACAACGCCTAGAGCATCTAGATGGACTTAACGAGTGACCGTGTATAAATAGAATGAACGGTGGCATAGGTTACCGTGCGAGGCGGCCATGGCGGCGGCGAGGTTGGGCGGGCGGCGCAGGTTGCGCGTGGTGGGGCGCGCGCGCTCGCCCGCCACCAGCAGCACGGCCGCCGCGCCCTCGGGCACCGCGCCCAGCGCCGGCCACGCGCCCGCGCCCACGAACTGCAGGCGCCCGTCGCGCGCGTACAGCGCGCGCAGCAGCCCCGTGCACACCTGCAGCACTCTCGCGCTCTATACCACCTACCGTACGGTATCCTAATCGACTCTTCTAATAATTAAGATACGAAACTCATGTTTTTTACCCTTTCAAAGGCCCTCGAAAACTAAAGAAATCTATCTAGCGGCAGAAATCTAACATCGGCTAACGTTCGTCAGAAGAGATAAAAACGGTCTATAGAGCCCCGGTTGCAATTAAGTTCCTTTAGCTTTTTGGTAGACGTTTGCTATAGTGTTGGAAAAAGTCTTGTTAAGCATTTTTCGATGTCGCTCCCATCCGCACAGGGCGTGTAACGCGCGATAGAGAACTTCGTTCCAATAAAAGTTACGGATAGAAAAAGAGGAACTTCTAGGTAAATATAAAATCTAGATTTTACTTTATTGTATCAGAACGAATGTCGTTTTTCTTATTATTTAGCCTTACTTAACGCCGTACGCCTACGTTGTACTCGTGAAACGGGTACGCATACTGATTTTTTTTAAGACAAAAATAAGCATAACCGCTCATCATTAGTCGTTTCGTGCGTCTCAACAGTAAACATAATAAATTAAAAAAGCATACACACGTTTAATAGCTATCTCGAAATACAACTATGGTAATTGCCATTGTACAATATTTTCATTTAACATTGCCATATTATAATAAATAATATATTAATTATATTATTACCTTGAACAAATGCGACCATGCCGGCGTCTCGTTTTTTCCGGAGATTTCTATATGGGAAGCGGCTACCGCATCTCGGTACTGACCAGTCACCGCTGGCCGAGACTCGGGGTACGCCAGCTCCACAAGGCCGAGGCAAATTTGTCGAAGAGTTCGACATAAACCACCAAGTTCGTTAAACTCGAAGGCATGAACACGGCCTCCAACTGACGGTGGTGGTGGTGATGTAACTACGAAAGAATAGTCGATTTTTCTATTTTGTAACGAAAAAATACAAGAAAATGTATTTATAACTTGTGTTTTTAAATAAAGGAGTGTTGAGATACAATAACGTTTTTTAGAAAAGGAAAACAAGTATGTTTTGAAAACACGAATACGTCATCATTCATGTTTATATTATATAATTATAAGGACATTGTGTTGGACAGTGTGTAACGCTCTTAAAATACATTCTAGTGTAAACTAAATAGCGAATATATGTAAACTAACTAGTAAATAATAATATAAATTAGATTATTATACAAATTATTTTGTGTTATCATTAAATATTCCAAATCTAAAAATTACAAGTTAATTATAAATTAAACCCGACTATTAAATATTTCTATAAATAAAAATAAAATACGTTGATATATATTTCATTAAAAATAAAAATATCTAAAGAAAATATGTATTTCATTTCTTTCTTCCTATCGTCAGAGTCAGAGGTTCTGAAAGAACACTTTAAATAGATCCACGGAAAGCCACGAAAAACAGAAATGCTTTTGCGGAATCTCAAAGAAAAAGAGATTTTGACAAGACTATGAGTAAAGAGAGCAGCCGGTTTTATAAATATAATATAACTTACGATTTAACTTGTCATCGCTTATATCTCGACAGAACTCCGTGTCGTGCAGCGTGCCGATGAGCAGCGAGAACAAGGCACAGAAGGTGGCTAGCGGCGCCAACAAGCGGTAGACGCCGGTGTCGTGCGGCAGGCCGCGCGACAGCGCCGCCAGCAGCGGCTGCGCCGGCGCACCGAACGTCGAGCGCTGCGTCATGCCGCTCAGCCACGACCACACGCCGCGCACGAACACCGGCTTGAACGCCAGCGTGTACAACAGCCTGGAACCATGCACGACACCACTATTAAAGGCCAGCGCTGGTCGATGTTGTAGAAACACAGTTCTTTTTCTACTTGCTGTGTTGATTGCTTTCTTTGTAAGAACCATGTCACGAACGTTCCCAAAGCTTTCCTTAGTAAACTAGTATCTATATTAATCAAAGGAGAAAAACGAGATCGGACTGGTAGAACCAGATATTACCACTTTAAACAAACTAATGAAATCCTTATCCCTTAGATAAGGACATGTAAGCAAATAAAGGTATTTTTTAATTATTTTTTTTTTATTTTTTGATTGTTCCTATAAAACTTGACTTAACAGCCAACGATAATTAATATTATACAAATAAAATCAAAAAGTGTAACTTCTTAAATATTTAGCAATATAGTACTGCAAAATAAAAAAACCTCATAACCTCACCTGTACTTATGTAACGCCATCCGATGACTCAACAAAAGATTATGACAAATCTCTGTAACACTATCGAGGAACTCTTCACTGAGATCAGCGTCAGTGATATTCGAACACACGGTCATGACACACCGGTCCGGTTCATTTAAAAGCTCTATACACTTCGTCAATAACGTTTGCTCCCTGACAGAGGTAGGGTTCGGTTCTGGCTCATCGTCACTGTCGTCGTCTTTATTCGCCACTGTTTCTTGACTGTACAAAGAGTCTTCATACTCGTAGGTGATTTGCTTATTACAAACATTTACAGTTAACTTAGCGATAATTTTAAAATAGTCTATTACGATAGGATTGTTCAGCAGTCTTGTGTTATCCATATTGCGTATCATGTTTACTGTAACAAAATAATTCATACATGACATTAGGACCGTTCAGACGTACACTTGATTTGCAACCCAATTGAAGTGGTTGAGTAGTAAAGCGAATTTCAAGTATTATTGAGAAAAACACAACTTTTCTTAAAGCTGTTTTTATTAAAACGCGGTTTAAATGTTGAGCTCAAACTTTTGCATAAAATATTCGAATAGGCTTCAAAGAAAATATATCAATAAAGGATGGCATAGTACAAGTTCAATAGCTTCAGTCAATTTGATGTAAACAGTTTGGATTTGAGGGAAATGACTAGAGGTGTTTAAATCTATCCAAAGCTTTGGATACCCTCCTACATTTTTATTCTTATTATAAGTTATAAAAATTGATACAAGAAACACAACACTGTAGATATTAAAAATATGATATTAGCAAGCAAATATTACTCAGGCAAAGTATTGTACTACAAAGTATTACAATCTGTTCATACAAAATGACAGAATAAAGTCATTGATATTTTACTAGTTTACTATTTAATAATATATAATAGTTTAATATATAATAGTTTAATAATAGTTTAATATATAATAGTTTAGTTTAGTATAATATAATAATTCAGGTACTATAGGGAGAAGAAATTCATGATGCTCACTAAAATTTGGTGGCTCCAGCGCCAATACTGAGTGTAGCAACCAGGAGTCATTCGTGAGAACTCCACTGTGGTACTTGCTGTCGTCTCTGAGGCACTGTATTAGAGCTAGGAACGGGAACCTTTTGAAAGAATCGTGTGACAATGCCGGTATTATAAACAGCTCTACTGGCTCCGGGTACGGGTTGCAAAGGAAAGCGGATGAGAACTCTGTCATGATGCTATCACTAAAATCAAATAAAACAAAAAACGTCTTTTAACATCAATCGGAAATAGAACATTTTCTCTAGATGATGCTACCTTCTCTAAATCTTTCAAAAGATGTCATGATGAATCAATAATGGTACGGCAGAACATGAAATATGGACAAACATATATTAATTTCTATACATATGTATATTAGAGATAATTAAATGGTGTTAACAGTCTATATCATATGGCGATGGGTAACATTTTGCTTAACTCACCATAAAAAGGTTATTTTATAATACACACTAAGCTCTGTTTTAAAAGAATTGCATTTAAAATTTTAAAGTTTCTAGCATGTGCCAAAAGTTTCTTAAAAACATTTACTTTTATGTTTGCTTAAATAGTCGATTACAGTTTTTTTTATGTAGCCCTGCCCTGCCTACAACCTTCATCACACAAGCCATTCATATAGTTTTCATTATAGTTTTAAGTGGTGTTAGATTAACTAGCTTCCAGGTACGATTTACTCGAGTAATTAAACAACCGTTTGTTGCGAGCACAAAAATGTACTTATTCGAAAGCTAATATACTACGACCGGAAAATATTAACACCGCGCTTTAGCCAACCGGAACAACGCCATCTGTCGCGTGTTAATTAAATACATTAACGTTCGACTGAACAAGTTATATTACTTCCCTATAATTTATAAAGAAACCCAATTGTATGTAAAATAACACCAACATTAGGCAAAGTACATATAACGCCATCTAGTCACGATGTCTATAGTAAGGAACATGAGGTCTTTATTTTTTGTAAACATGTAACTATAAATATTTACCATAAGTGTTTGTTTGCCACCTTAGCAGTTTAAAGATTACCAAATTTATACGTGTTTACGCAATAATCAGTATTACTGTGGACTTTGTACAATGGGTTTAATTAAGTACTTATCTAACTTTTCTTCTTATTTAAATTCATACATTACTAAGTTACCCAGAATTAAATGAATTCTAATTACGTTTGAAAGTCAACCATTAATATTTAATGTTAAATGAAACAACTCTATTTCTTTTATAGGTATTACGAAATTAAGATATTTTTGCACAGTAAGTTGGCAATCAAGGACGCAGACCATAATGTCGAAGGAAGGTACTTTAGACCCTGATTTGCTTAAGTTATTGCTTTCAAATCTAGGCATGCTTTCTTATCATGAAAGTGGGACCAAACTATAATTGGCAAAAATGGGTGTTTAATACGCTTCTGTATACCATATTCATATATAAAGGGTATATACATATATATAGAATGTCATTTAAAATACTTATTTACTTTGTAATGTGTACACAACATTAAATTTTGCATTTAATATTTATACTTTAGTTAAGGTACCTTTTGTATTTAAATTTTTCTTTCGTGGAACTTCGTAAACTAGAAACATTTCTATTTAGTTTAGAAAGGTAATTTAATTAAGTTTATTCTGTACTGTCTTGTGTTCCTTAATTATTGAATTACTATATCAGAACTTTCTGAAATAATAAAAAGGTATACAATAAGAAACTTACTTATAATGAGGAATTTTGACGTGCGAAATGAGACTCAGTGGCCGTTGTATTAGATCTAATAGTGCTCCAGCCAATGGGATCGGTGGGTTCGGCGAAGGCCCGTATAATGGAGGAGTTCTCTGACATATTAAATTACACAGATCTTTGAAGTAGCCTGCCAAAGAATAAAAATACATATAAAATAATTATAAAAATAAATGTATTAAAGTTTTGGTTATTTATCTAAGCCTAGTATAAACCTAAATGCTTTTTTGCTTTGCTTTCCTAAAAGCTTTTATCTTTAATAACAGTACGAGTCAGATTAAATTTTGTATTGTACTATTCTTTAACAAAGGTATAGGCAACATCACGCAACGACCCTTAGCAGTAAGATAAAAAAAAAATGTAAGTAAAAGCTGCAGGGAAAACCTGAACCTGAATAAAACCACAAAACACAAATCAATATCAATGCCAGATCCACGACTTTCCTTTTCTCATATAGAGGAAGAAAGTGAACTTCTTGCAGCATTTTAAGTAAGCCTGTTGGTAATACTTTTAGCAACATGTTGTTAATGTAAATGAAAAGTGTTTATTTTCCGGAGAATTATAAAATTTATTTTTACACTTTCTCAAGACTGGCGAGGTCTAGGACCTCTTAAGCACCCTGCGGCATGCCGCGTGTTTAAAACGCATTTCAACTGTTGGTGAAAATATTTAAGACGTAAGTCAATCACGTGCACTAGCATTTACCATCTGTTCTAAACTAATTCTTAACTAATAATATATATTTTCTTAACCTTACCTCGTTTTACAAGATATAAAAACGTGCCACCAGCAATAGTGAGTGCATCAACGCAGTTTATTGAAGCTTCTGTTAGATTGCAAGCTGTGAATACCTCAAACATTCTCAATGGTACAGCAAGAGGTACCTGTTGAAAAAAATGACGTCAGAAATAATCGTTCCCGTCGTCACGGAGACATAGAGTATGTTGGTACCCACTATTGGTGGGAAGTGTTTCAATATTTTAGAAACCGTTTCCCTATAAATTCCTTGGAAGAAAGATAGACTACAAAGGACTACCACATCTTTGAACGCAATAGTCGATGACTTCGTGAAGGTCAAAGACAAGGTAGACCAACAGCCAATAAGTAACGTAAAAAAAGCTTGGATTTACGACAACTACTTAACCAATTCTGGTATAAGATACAAGTATTAAACCAAAACCACAAAACACTGGACACGAAAGTCACTAAGACATTAAGTCGTGGCTCGGGCTAGCACCATCTGCACACACACAACGAGATGAAAACGAGACCTACAAGGTGCAGGTAATGAACCTAGAGATGCAGAATGAACGGTTAAGTCTATGACAATTTTGTATCCCGCCATTATGTACTTTGAAATGGCGCACACTTTTATATGATGGATCACCTGCCTTATGAAATTTTTACCTCAACACATTTGACCTCAACTCAGACGACGTGCAAAGCAACCTAGTAAGATGAGGAAGCTACAGAAAAGGCTTGTATGATGTGCAGTGCGGAAATAGGAACAGCCAGGCACTTAATGACAGGTTGAAAGGTGCTATTAGACCGAGGTCATTATTCACTTGGCCATGATAGGGTACTAGAAATCATACGCGAAGCTATTGGGTACTAGAAATCATACGCGAAGCTATTAGTTTATCACTGGCGAGAGCAAATAAAGGAGTAACAACCAACATAAGAATTAACATCGATTTTGTAAAGGAAGGCTTAACAAAAAAGACTTCACAAAAACCGTACGCAATCATAAATATGAAAAGTGACTGGACATTATTAGTAGACACGTGTGAAAATCATTACAGAATACCGGAGGATATCTGTGCCTCGGCGTCCAGACTAGACATATTTCGTTATGTGGGTAGGAATGGAAGTGGGTATACTAGCTAAATCCCGCTATAAACTGCTTAAAGACCTTGGATTGCCCAGAGATTCAGTAAGCTATTTTCTTGAACGAATATCCAAAACGGCATTACTACTCATATCAAATATGGATAGATAGAGGGGGTAACACAGCAGACAGTGGAGTACTCCTACTCAACCTACTACTCCTATCAATCCCAGGTGCTGTTGCAATCACATGTGTTGCCACCATCTATCGTGAGATGGAGTTTCTCCCACCTTACTCATTAATAAGAAAAAATATCAAACATGAATATACTATAACCAATTAATAGAATTTATTTTATGACAAATTTTTACTCCAGTCTGTCTTATTTTAAGTATATGAAATTGGACTACAAATTCATACATATGTATAGTAAATAAATAATATTTACGTAAATAAGTAAATAAATGGTTGTGGTTTAACTTGTATATTCAACACCGACAATAATGATGATTTAAGAATTGAATTTTGTAAATGTCACTTTACTTTAAGAATATTATGATTGCATGCTTGTTAGACCTATTATGTATAAATACATATGTGGTATAAGACGAAACTTTGATAAGAAAGGCAAGAAATTTTATCATGCAAGTTTATATAAATGAAAGATCAACTAACTAAATTTAACAAATAAATATTACCTCATTATTACTTAACAATCGCAAGTGAAGTACCAACAATCTTCTGATCTGTACATATGCATCATTAATTTGGTAAATTTTCTTCCAATGTTTCAGCAATAACTGAGAAATGGACACCTAAAAGCAATATTTACATAATAAGAAGACAAATTTATATCAGAAGGTTAACTGAAGTAAATTAGTTCAACTCTCATATCGATTGATCCTATATATAGTGTCATCTGCAAAATTCTAATTTTACAGAAGTGTGCATGTACATACACATATGTGTCATTTTTTTTTATTGACAACTCCAGCATTAGGAATATTTCCTGTATGGTGGGGTATACAAGAAACGGACACAAAGAACACCCAGACTCAGAACAACAATTTGTGGATTACACAGTGTCGTTTCATGTGGGGATCGAACTCACAACACTCAGCACAGTAGTAAGCGGCGTGGCGACTGCTTAAACCACTACCACATCCGTGCAGTCAGTCAGTACTATTTGTCCAGTTGAAACTATGGTAAGTTTTGGAATGTTAAAAAAAAAATTGGTTTATATTTTCTTCATGGGAGAGCCATGCTTAGGCACATAATTATGGACCATATAAAGAATTACCAAGCAAAAGGTAAAGACGTGCTTGGCAAATATAAAAGTGAACTTTGTAAGGTTTCACTATACATCATGGACCATCAGAGCTGAGATAATTAATTTCAATATTATACCTATTTATATCAATTTAAATCCATATTATCCAGAGCTACAATAATAAATATAATTTGCTAACACCCACTCTATCTCCACCTACATTAAAAAATCTTTTATTATGCCTACACACAAAATCTCATCTCTCTCTCTCTTCAACATGTAAAAATATCTGAAAAGATTTACTTATGGAAATAAATATCTTTTATTTATCTCAACCTCCAGCATTAGAAGCCTCTATCTGTTCTAGTAATTTAGTTTAAAAGCATACCAACCAGCCTATTATAGTCTTCTTGAGCATCATAAAAGAATAATATTTTAGCAACAAGTGATGATATCAACAACTGGTCATCAGGATTCGCGCCAGGAAATACACTGTCAAAATGGTCCCTTTCAATTTGTTTTATGTGTTTCCTTGTTAAAAAACTTCTAACATATGCTTGAATTTTTATTGTACCATTCAGACGCTTTCTGTGTTCCTGTAATTTAAGAAAAAATTATCAATGTATTAAAATAATAATATAAACACTGCTGTTATATTTGATTTAGTTATAGGCTTTCAAGTCTGAATTTATTCAAGTAAGAAAAATTGAGTCAGATGTATATTATCTATGAAACATTTATACAGAAAGTGCTGAGTCATATTGTATGATCAAAGTCATTTATAACTATTTGTCATTGTATTCAGTCAATGGTATAAAATTATACTTTCTACAATACTTTTATGAAAGTAAACACCTGCAAAGCTACCAATAAAAACAGAGTAAATAGCTTTTGTTTTATGACATTCAATAATTACACCTATTTTGATATTCAAGAATGTAACATCTTTTAAAGTTTTAGAATACAATTAATAGTTGAATTAATACTAAAACAAGAGCGAAAACAAAATATAAGTGAAAGTCACAAGATAACCTCTCTTTTCTGTCTTTGTTGTTGTGACTGAAGTATCAAAGCTTCTCTGTCTGTCTTGCGTTGTGCACTAGCACCCGCCAAGTTTTGCTGAGGCTTCCGCCTGAAATCCCCCTCAAATGAATACATTGCTGGAAAGAAAATACACAACCGATAAAGATAACACATTTAAAAACATTTTGTAAACAAGAATCAGCTGAACGACCTACAATTGCACACAATATTTACCTTAGCCAAACTCAATTATGTTGCAAAGTATTGTTAATATATAAGAACATAGTAGAAATATATGTGTTAATTCACCTCACATGAATATTAAGCCATGAATACTCAACTATAACGAAATGCAAGATTTTATTGGTTTTTCCAGCAATGAGCAAGGAGTTAAAAAGGTAAACTCTGACAGCAAACAAAATTTAATATTGCTAGCTTTTAAATTAAATTACCCATAATAAATGCCCTGTTTTGTGTGTAGTTTTTTAAAATGTATATTTCGTATGTATGATATCGTGTAAAACTATTTTTCTATCTATTCGTATCATAGTAAAATAGAAGAGAGAGAGAGAGAAGAAGATCTCAATAGACGAGATTTATTTGCTATTAAAAACATTGAATATTGACGGCTTTTTTAAAAAGTCTGTTTGTAACATGGCTTTCCGGTGGTACTGGATAAGGACTGGCACTGGTATTCCCAATCTCTAAATAATGCATATCCATTAAATTCAAATTTGAAAATTAATCCATTATCCAGGTTTTCACAATTTTTTATTCTATAAATTTTGATAATTTTAAAGATATTTTTAGCAATGTATTTTTACACTTTGGCAACAACTTAGGTTCGAAATCTATTCAGGATGTAGATTGTTGTATTCTGTGTGTCGGTCACCATAAATTCTCAATTAACCTCAATCAATAGAATAATATGAGGAGCGTGAATTTAAGAGACAGACAAAAGAAGTACTAACGTTGCCAACAACGGCAACCCTACAATGAGATTGGTAATTGGCAACTGTCAAAGTGGCGCTAGCGTATTTTTTGTTGATTGTTCCCATAGAGATGTAATCTAGAGAGAAGAAGAGCCTTAATCTAGCAAACTAGGCAATAAAAGAGATGGATAATAGATGGTCCCCTCTATCTCTTTTTAGTCGAGCTCTGTGGTTGGCTGGGGAATATGAAAGGTTAATAAGTAGCCAAAAGCAGCTTAGCTAAAGAGAGACAGAGTGACATATCGGGCATCAATCTCTCTCGTTACCTGCATCGCCTCCATTTACAGGCTTCCACTTACCCCGTGTTCTCTCTATGATTGTTCCCTTCCCGAACCGTTAGGTTCTAAATTATTTTTAGGGTCAAATTCAAAAAATAATTTCAAATAGTAAGAATGACGTGCTGCATCGTCTATAAATGCTCTGAAATTGGAACGTGCCAAATACCGAATGATAAGATCTGAAACCTAAATTTAGTCCTAGATTATGTAGTATGGGCGTAACCAGCTTTTACTGAGAGGTGGGGCAAAATTATGAAAACTAGATAAGTAGTTGGAATTTAATATACTATTTTTTTCTAACCTCTTTAAAATTTATTTATTAATAAGTTTTCTGTCATTGTCGATCATATCGCACTTTTTACTCTACGTAAAGAAGGTACCAAAAGACCTTTTGATTGTAAAGGTTGTACATGGTTGTAGTACAAATGAAATATGAAACCCTTGTTTTATAGCTGGATAAAACAGTTGTGTTACTTTAACTGTGTACCCAACTCAATTTCCTTGAATTCACTTCCTTGTTCCATTTTTTTTGTACCCTGATATTTTACCAAAGTTTAGCTTCACCTACAAATTTACTTAAATTAAAAAAGGTTCTGTTCTTTTTTTTAAGTCATGATACGAAATTTTATGTATCATGTGAAGGTGAATTGTAAACAGAGAGTACGCAAGGAAATCGTCCTCGGAAAAAAGTTGCTCTTGAGACACAATTGAAGGACCAATGTAGGGTATTTTTTATTATCTTTTCCAAAACTCGCTCGGACTCTACGCCTGAGGCTTTGCATGATGTGTCTGCCGATTTGTTGTCTAAGGAATTCTAGAACCTATTGCAAGATCGTCAGCAACTAACTCTACTTAGGCTATTAAACTTTGAAATGGACAAAAATTTTGTCGGACCTAATATGAAGCCGTTTTAGGGTTCCGTACCTCAAAAGGTAAAAAAGGAACCCTTATAAGATCACTTTCTTGACCGTCTGTCCGTGTGTCACCACCGATTTTCTCAGGAACGGGTAGACCTAGCAAGTTGAAATTTATACCAGATACTGAGGTCTATGGTCCCTATTAGGTGTGTAAAAATCAAGGTCCTGAGTCAACACAATAAAAAGATATGGGCAAATTTCGTAATACCACTTGTAAGTACCAAGATTTACCTTAATTTTCAAGTTTCTTTATTTTTCAGAATTTACTCTTTACTTGTGCTGTAAGACCTTGCTTTTAACCAAAATTACCCTATAGGTTTTGAGTCGAAAACCAATATCGTAGTGCCCGTTGACCTAGAATCACGAAATTTGGCAAAAAGACACTTACAGCACAAATAAAGGAATAATACCAAAAAATAAGAAAAGTTGAAAATTGAGATAAATTTTGGTACTTACAAATTTTCGCGAACTCGGCGCACGTGTTCGACACGTACCTGATCGTTTTTTTATGTTAACTCCGCTAAGGTGGTTTCAATTTCAGACACAAGTTTGAAAGGACGAGGACGTTTAAAATTTTACTAATCCTACCCACACGACCACCACTGTAATTCCTGTGCACCAGGATCCACAGCAGTGACTCACGAACACACTGAGTTGTCATAACTCGGGAAGTCCCAGGAAGAAATTAAACTGTCTTGGCATCCGCAACAAAATTAATCAGAAGAAAATTGGAGGAGTTGGATATACAGTAAATCCACTTCCCTCCTTAGCATAGCGGGAGACAAAATTAAGTAAAATAGGCCCACACCCTTTTAAACAGGGAAGCACCACGGCTACATAATAGGTCCTAGGTGAGCTATATTTGATTTCTGTAATATGTATGGCAGAATCGCCTAAACGCACGGAAATTCACCATAGTTGACACAAGATAACCATAGTATATCACCCCAGATGTCACCTGCAAGCTATTAAGCATTATATTACGTTCATTATATCAAAGACTAACTAACCAGGGTATATGATGAGCAGACTGTTCATAGTGAGAGTTAGGTGTTGAGCATTGACACAATGGTGACTCGACTAATTTAAATAAATACAGCTTGCTCTTAAAGTTACCAAGACCCGTAAGAAATTGAGCGACGCAGTGATCCACCTCAAGCCATGTCCTCAACAACCGTTCGCGAACAGATGGAAAGAACTGGTAAAGAGTGCGCCCCTTGGATGATTCGTCCCAGCGTTGTTGCCATTCGTCTATGAGGTCATTATAGACATCGGACTGCTGTTGAAGCAATCTTGTAATTTTACCGCGATCCCGCGCTCCCAAAAAATCGCATTATATGTTTTGTTGTCTTGAATAGTAGATGGCTGCACGTCTCTGCACCTCGATATCGACTGGAAGCACACCTGCCAACACCGGCGAAGCCTCAGTGCTAACCGTCCTATATGCCTATATGTATTGGTATCGCAAGAAAATCATCGAAGCCGATATTCCACAAGTATGAACCTAGCACTGATCCCTGAGGACATCCCATTGTAAGCGCCTTTGACACAGAATGATGACCAAGTCATAGTTTAGTTGTACCTTGTGAAAAGTACGAAGAGATAAGGGAATAAATATTTTAAAGCATCCCCGTGATTTTAATTTCAGCAACAGCATGGGCCACCATGCTTTGTCGAAGGCGCCAGGTATATCTAAGAAAATAGCCAGCACGTATGGAAATTTCGATTCTGTGACAAACTTCCTAACCGATATAACAGCGTCAGTTGTCGATCTCTCCAACATAAATCCCAATTGTCTATCATGAAATTTGACTCCACCTGGCAAAAGCCGGGGCACGACAAAACGTTCTAAAAGCTTTCCTAACGATCTTAACAATGTGATTGGTCGGTAGGATTTGGATCATCAGGTGGCTTGTCTCCGCTTTTTGGTATTATACGAATATTCCTTCCGCAATGCAACGTTTAAAGACAGTGATAATCGTGTTACCCGAAAGTTTACAAGCTTCTTTTATCATTTTGTTAGATATCTTATATCATCGCCTGAAGCCTTGTTAGCGGCAAGGATCTAATGATACTGAGAAATTCGTCTGAAGATGATAAATCAGACATTAGAGACAGTGGTGGTTCGAGGGCCCGAGAAATATTGGGGCAGCCGGTATAAACGGGATCTCTTGTGCTTTTCTTTACGTCAGCTATGATATCGTCTCTAATCACATTCCCACATAGATAAAAAAAAATATTCTGAATTTTCGGTGAAGTATATTTGGCACTTTTTATTGATTTCTTTTTCTGTTTAGGGGGCAGTAATCATGTCGATATCAACTGGCACATTTTCAATAAAACATTTCACAGCTGTACTCCATGTTAAGGCATAAGATTAGTTTGTAGTGAAGTTGCACGCCAATTGGGAAACATGGTGGTTTGACGTTTGACAGTTTTCTTATATCAATTAAACTGTCAGGTAATAGAAAATAAAAATAGTAACTTAAACATAGGCAAATATTTGTGTTAGGTCTAGCGTTATGACTGGAAATAGGCCTATTTATTATTTGTTTTGTATTTAGTGCCGTAGAACTTCTGTTATTATCTAGCAGAATGTCTGATATTCTCATAGATGATTGCGAAAACCCTGAAAACTCAGGTCGGGTAAGTATAGCGTTTAATGTTTTAATAAACTTTTAATTGGATTGATGCATTAACTGTTTTTTTTATGAAATAAAACATTTGAAATATCAGGTTTCAAGGCCAACACTAGCTCAAGTAAAAGCCATAATATCTTTCATGGAGAAACATCCCGATTTGGCACATAGAAGATTAAGGGTGGGCATGGGACATGCCAAGTTTAAAAAGTTATGGTTAGAACTCTCCAATATAGCTAACTCTATAGACGGAACTATAAAGTCCACCAAGGGCTGGATCAAGGTAGGTATCTAGTTAAGTTTATGAGTAGACTACTTTTTATAATTATAGTTTTTACTTCTTAAAGGATACATTAGGAGGCTCTAACAAGGAAAACGTTTTATTTTTTGAAAGTGCTTTTCACAGGAAGAATGAATAAATTAGAAAAAATGTTTGCTTAATTTTTAAAATTAAAAAACATATTCCTATTTGCCTAGTTTAATGTGAAATAACCCATTTCATTAGGTATATGATGTATTATAGTATGGGCTATATAGGACTGTGAAAGTCTATATATGTTTTTTTGTGTCATCACAGTTTTGGTCAGATAAGAAGCGCAGCATACATATCAAGAAAAAACAAATTGAAGAAGGGAAACTTTTAGGGTCATTGACTGCACTAGAACAAAAAATTTATGACCTTTGTGATGCTCATCCCCCAATAACAAGTAGTAAGTATTAAAAGTTACAAGTACAAATAAAAAATTTAAACTAAGGGAAAGAGCATGATCTTTGAATGACTGAACAGATTTTGTGAAATTATAACTGAGTACATTCTGGATCGACCTTTAACACAAGAGATTGTAAATTAAAATCTGTCCATTCATTTAGGAGTTATGATGCCATGATAGATTGTTAAAATAAGAAGATGTCTCTATTTCTTTATGAGAGTGATTTATGATTGAGAGTATGATAACTTGTTGCCAATATTACTGAGCGATATTTGCTTCTGATTCCTTCATCATCAATCACCATCAACAGCCTATACTAGTCCACTGCTGGACATAGGCCTCTCCTTAGAAAGGAGGTTTTGGCCTACTATACCACGCTGGCCAGATGCGTTGGTAAAGGGTTTGTTTCAAGTTTTCCTTCTCTTTGCAGTGCTGTTGTCCTGCGTAGTTAGTAGATAAGGGGTGGTGACATTCTGTACTCTTAATCCGTCACCACAAAGACAGTAACGGAAGTAATTGTCGTAGTCGTATATAATGATCAATGGAACTCCTTAACGGCTTACAGTAAGGGTGCAATCTGTGGCAATTCTAACTGTCTGTATAAGTCGAAGTGAATGAGTTTCAGGTGTTTCATTTGATAAGTGATCGTGAATCAATCTGAGTCGGTGGGCACGTTGCTCCTCCGTATTCATTAGATAGACGATCGTGGATTAAGCCGAGACGGTGGGCACGTTGCTCCTTCGTCTCTTGTGATAAGCGATCGTGGATCAAGCTGAGACGGTTTGCACGTTGCTCCTCCGTCTCATTCGATAGACGATCGTTGATCAAGCCGAGACGGTGACTACGTTTACCCATATTTTCCCTTGTACATCTTAGTAGTATCATAAGACATGACTTATTTTTATTGTAACATACTTTATCTATCTAGGAAAGAAAAAAATTGTGAAAGAAGAGCCCTGTAATGGTAATGATAATGAATCATTTGATGATGAGTTGTCAAATGACTACAAACAAGAGGAAAACAGCAGACTGAATACTTCAGAAGTGGATGAACGTCAATTAAATATGATAGACAAATTGGTATGTTTTTTGTTTAAAAATGTAGAACTATACTTACATTGATGTGTTAATGGTGTTACATTCTGCCCTTTCTTTTTATTATACTTGTTTGTCAAAGTATAGAAGTAGTCAAGTATTTCGAAAGTTCTAAGTATCATCTCATTTATGACACATTATTAGAGTCGACCTAACTTAATCCTCAGGAGTGCCCTCGACATTTAATCCCTTGAGGAGAGAATCTGACTTAATTTTTAGTGTATGTTTGGAGGTGTAGTAGAGATACCCCAGACCGCGTTCGGTTTTAGTCGGTTCAAGTTCTACATAAACATGGTTAGGCAGTATGTAGGGTGCCCAAGGGGATTTTCTCGCGAAAGAATGAAAGAAAAGAAAAGAAGAAATGTGCAGCTTTAGGGGAGAATTTTATCACAATCTGGAAGTTCTAGTTTGTTACCAATACTATTTGAATGCTGGTTAATTTACGGTTTTTCGGCCGAGTCCTGCATAAAAACGTACTCTTATAATTCAACTAAATTTAAAAAAGAGCATGTTTACATTACAATGTATTGTTCGCTATCTGCAATATAAAACGTAACTTATTTTCCTTGATTTTAAGATCTAAACATGTTCTTAACTAACAAAAAACAAAAATCTGTAAAACCTCAATTGAATAGAAAGTCAACGTTCAACGAAGATGCTAAAATTGTAAATACTTGTTATATTTCAGAGTATTATTTGTCGCACAAGACTTCACTGATTAGGTGTACACGTAATCATGAGATACTAACTACACGACAATACTTTTTGTATTAGTTATTAATGTTTTGTTTTTATATTTTATAAAGATTTTTCATTTTATTTAACTGCTTTATTCTTATGGAAAATAAATAATTGGCATCATATCTCGGATTTACAGTTGTTTTTGTTATAAAGACAATATTTAAATACATGATGTTTATGTCGAATAAAGACATTTTTAATAAAAAAAGATGTGGGTGTGGGTAATGTACAAAATAACATAGTAATCATACAGAAATGTTGACTATTCCTTTTACGACTAACAGTTTTCTAGGTTGTATGGCGTTAAGCCATTACAGGAACCCGCTAGGAATTTATTAAAACTTTGACGCGCGCTTTTGTAAAGTTTTTCATTGCAGGCGTCGATTTGCTAACATTTTACGTCGACTCAATCGAAAATGAGGATCCTCCAGATACATGCATTAAAATATAAATCTGCTCTATTGCTAATCTCAGGATTGTATAAAGGAAATCTTACAGATTATTTAGACTTTTTTTTGCTTTTTTTTAAACGCATAAGGAAAATATCCTGTGTCGCGGGGGATGGTACAAACATATATGAAACGGACGTTGAACCCATAACACTCAGCGCAGTTGAAAGCGGCGAGGTGACAGTTTAAACCACTGCGCCATCCGTTCAGTCAAGTCTTGATTTGTGGAGTAGGATCTAGTGTCCAAAATTTCAAGGCACTCCAAATCGCAAAGTTAACCTTGTTGTAATCGTAACTCTATCTTAGCATTAGTAACCTGATTAAGAAATTGAACATTTATTGCAAAAAAGAAATGCTAAGATAATCACGTAATGATTATTTTTCCGAAATATTAGGCATTAGTAACAGTTTACATAATCTTATAATTAACTATCCGTGTGCTTTACATTGCCACTGCACCAAGGTGAAACGATTATTACGATAGGTCAAATTTAAATTTTGTTCATAGGTAGTGGTCATGAATCAGCAGTCAGCAGCACTTTCGCAAATGGCACAAGCGACTCTCACTTCCTCCAAGGCTTTGGAGACCATAGCGGAAGCCTCTCATGTACAGGTAAGGTAGAATATTTACAGAGGGTGATGCAGATTAGTTCATGCCTATACAAAAATACTGAGCTAAATAAATATCTTTCACAGGCAATCGCTGTAGACAGACTCGCGAACACCTTCGAAACTATCAACGCCTCCTTCCACGATGTCAGGAACGCCATATTAGGTATAGATTATACTATAAAAAGGTGTTATCCAGCAACGGCATCCGAACAAAGACAAAATTCAAATATATTCAGTTAGACTGCACAAAATCTCAACAATTTTTCCTTAGCTGTAATAGTTTTAAAATCATGTATATACCATTTTAAACCTTACAGTATAACAATTAAGTTTATTTTAGTTTGTCTGAACTTTAATCAGACTTGTACATACGGTAATCAACCTTGTATTAATATTAATGAATCCACTGTATTTTATGAACAAGAATGATTTTAAAAGATTTTATTTGTTTCATTTTCCTCTTAGAGACACTCAATACGCAACTTGTGTTTATATTTAAAAAATATTATTGGTTATAATGTGAAAGACTAGATTCCACGTACGTATCTTATCTTCGTCGCTGATAGTGATTGTTTTATCAATGTATGTATCATTGCTCCATTTTTAATGTGAAACAAAACTTGCGTTAATAATACTGTATACTAAATTCACTTGTATAATGCGACTGTTCCCTTGCAGTGTTGTGAACGAAAGCAATATTAAAGCATGGAGCTCAAACATTGTTATTTGTTAGTAGTTTGTTGTGTATTTGTAAGTTGTGATGTGTGTCCGAAGCAATGTGACTGTGATATGGAAGAAGGGTTGAACAGGGCGAGGTGTGTGGACCAAAACATTATCAGTATATCAGTGGGTGTACCCAAAGAAGTGCAAGTGTATAGCCTAAGACATAATGCTATAAGTGAATTGGAAAATTTCTGTTTTGTGGTGAGTTGATATAGGACACAATTTGGTATATTGCTTAGTAGGTTGTTTTTGTGCCATACACTTGTTTATTGAGGACCTAGATCAGCTGACATGCGCTGAAAATGTCTGTAGGTGAACTCAACAGTCTTCCATTACAGAATCGCTATTACTTTATACTATTTACAATTTTCGAAAGTTTTACTGTGATTGTAAACCTTCTGCAAGGACCTCTGGTGGCTGAACTGTTGACGCATTTAGTGGTTTGTCAATGTTATGTTTGTTATCTTATATATAGATATATACATATAAAAATGAATTGCTGTTCGTTAGTCTTACTAAAACTCGGAAATGACTGGATCGATTCGAAATTATTTGGTATTTTAATATTTGTCCAGAGAAAGTTTAAACGGTGCAAAAAAGTGAAAAAGAAAACATAAAATAAAAACAACAATTTTATTTTCTTATACAAATTTGATGTCAAATTAAAGAACGGATTAAATAGGGTTATCGAATAGAAAATATATATCCACAATATTAGGATTATAGTGTAGATTTTAAAAATGCAAAATAGTGTCACTAGGATCAACTAACTAACTAATTGTCAAAGGATCCAGCATACGCTGAAAGACTGAACGCGATGTCCTGGTCGGCCAAATTGGACGAGACTTGTCCCCCCCAGCAATGATTGCTCCCATGCTGGCGGGTGAGGAGGGATGGGGCGCAGTGGTCTCTTACTGTGAATCTGTAATGCTCCAGAAAGAGAGAGAGAGGAGAGGGCGGATTTCGAACGTAGAGGACGTCGGCGACGATAACAGCCGTCGAAGGTGGGCCGTCAGGAGATCCAAAGGGATTTTCCACCCCGTAAACAAAAAAAAAAGGACAAAGGATCGACATCCCTATTTATTGGTTGTCAAATAGTGACGAATTTCTGTTTGGAAGTTAATTTGTGCTTCTCTTGATTTTTTGCATTCCTATTCATTCTTTTTGTTACAAAGATACACTATTATATAGATAAACAGATGTAATTGATACGAAGTTTACCGGATTATCTAGTTTTTAATTAATAAAAATAAACATAACAGTTTTAAATTAATTAATGTTTCTGCAACAGTCTGAATGGCGGGTGAATGGTCTACCAGTATTGTTGCCGTAAACCCTTACAGAAATAACCTACAAATAACAACTATCAAACATAAATTATCCTTAATGGTGTTATAATTTTTTGTCAATATCTCTAGAATTACCTCATCAGATCCTGACCTGATGACTATGGGACCATCTGCGCACTGTCCTTATACCCGCCTCTTTTTAAATCTACTAAAAACACGAATAAACCTTGATAGTCTTATGAGTCATGTTTACTGAGAAGAGTTGTTACGTTTGTATTCATATAAATACAACACAAGGAGCATTAGCTAATGTTGTGATTTTCCAGTAGTGCAGTAGCACCAAAAACTTAATCATTAAGATTATTCTAGATGATAAGAATCGCAGTTCCAATTCCGGTCCGAGACAACTATTTGTTTGACCTACAGACATTTCTGTAACCGAGTCAACATTATATCATGTAGACACTTGTTTGTAAACTTAGTGAAGGTAACAAAAGACAGGTTCGTTAAAGGTCAACTTGCGTGAAGTACACAAATATTCCGCATCGGGATTACGTTGATAGAATGAGAGAGTTAAGTGGGATGAAAACATATTTAATCTTTGACTACACGGATGGCGTAGTGGTTTAAGCGGTCGTCACGCCGCTTACTACTACGCTGAGTGTTGTGGGTCCGATCCCCACGTGGGACGACACTTTGTGATCCACAAATTGTTGTTCTAAGTCTGGGTGTTCTTTGTGTCCGTTTCATGTATGTTTGTAAAGTCCCGTGAGACACAGGATATATTAATAATACGGGAGTTTAAAAAAAGAGTAGGATTATAGGATGGATGGTTATCCGGTAGGATTAAGGAGGTATGAAGCCTCAAAAATTGAAGTAAATATCCATAGGATTAGAACGGCATTCTTTGATATCAATTTAAATACTCTTATTACAAAGCAGTTTATTCTATGCCCAGTTTTAATAGTAATATTTATTCCCATCTAATTCTTGATTTCTTTACAAATAAAAACTGTTCTCGATTAGTAATGGTTATTCGCGATTGTCCGTGCGGTGACGGATTAAAAATACGGAGTGTCACCACCCCCTTTTTTTTTTTCCGTGCGGAAATCCCCTCGGATACCACCTGTCGGTGGCATGTCGGACTCGAACCGACTAAAACCGCACGCCGTCTCGGGTACCACCCCTATTCATCCCGTGGGTGTCGTAAGAGCCGACTAAGGGACTAAACTATGCAGGACAACAACACTGCAAAGAGAAAGAAAACTTGACACAAACCCTATACCAACCCATCTGGCCAGCGTGGTATAGTAGGCCAAAGCCTCATTTCTAAGGAGAGGCCTATGTTCAGCATTGGACTATTAAAGGCTGTTGATGATTCGCGATTAGAAGTAGTCTACCGATGTTAAATACCAAAAACAGTTGAGAAAATACAGTAAATTTGATGTCACCCACCGCAACTTAAAGGTAGATATTCTTAAGTTGCTTGTCGTTATTGCGTTAAATATTCTCGGTTTTATCTACATGTTAAATTAAGTATTTGAATGCAGATACGATAGTCTATGTTCCTTACATAAAGATTACCAAATGCATCTCTTGCCCAGGACATAATACTAATGTTTATATTGTTTTTTTTTAGGAAAATGGATATAAGTCAATAGAAGTACTAGACTTATCATACAATCTAATTTTTTGGGTTGGTCTGCATGCATTCTCTGGAATGGACAAATTAGTGCATGTAGATTTAAGCAGCAATCGGCTGCGGTTTATACCGTCGGATATCTTCTTCGACACACCTGAACTCAAGATCCTTGATATCTCTTCGAATATTTTCGAAAGCCTCAAGAATGAACCCTTTATCATGCATGCAAAACTAGAGGTATGTACTGAACTTATATTTATACAAGAAATAATTTAAAAACAAGAGATCTACCTTGGTATCTGTGATATTTATAGGAATAGATTACATGTGTAGAAAACATGAACATCATCATCATCATCAACAGCCTATACTAGTCCACTGCTGGACATAGGCCTCTCCTTAGAAAGGAGGTTTTGGCCTACTATACCACGCTGGCCAGACGGGTTGGTATAGGGTTTGTTTCAAGTTTTCCTTCTCTTTGCAGTGCTGTTGTCCTGCTTAGTTTGCTCCCTTAGTCGGCTCTTACGACACCCACGGGATGAATTGGGGTGGTGACAATTTGTATTCTTAATCCGTCACCACACGGACTAGTGTGAAAACATGAACAAGTAAGGAATATTACTCGTAAACTCTTGTGTAAAACGATAGCAATTCATAGACAAAAATAAAGAAAGAGATTCTGATAATAGGGAAGAAATACCGTAGCGTCTATAAGATTCTAAAAATGAATTTATGCAAAAAATATGAATAATTTATAAAAGTATGAATAGTTTTCACGCTTCTCGGACCCCAGCAAAACAAAATGTAATTGATATTACCTTACGACGATTTCATTGACACAAACTGGACCTTAAAACAGCATTTTTTTCTGTATTGAAATATAAATTGTTTATAAACTATGTCTTAACCTTTTAAATTTTTTAAGGTTTTAAATTTGAACAATTGCCGAATAAAGAACTTACCAGTGCGCCTGTTCAACAGACTGCCAAATCTAAAAAAGTTAGATTTGAGCGAAAACTATGTTGTTACACTGAACACCGATGTGCTTGTACCCTTGCGTAAACTGGAGAGAATAGAACTACGAAACGACTATTGGCAATGTACTGAAGACTTTGTAGCTACCGAGACATGGATAACAGAGCGAGGAATAACTTATGATAGACAGTGTAAGAAGAGAGGTCCTAAGATGTCCGAAAAAATCATATCCGTCGTACCCATTGAAAAAAATCCAGTTGAAATAAATAAAGTTTGGAATATATCCACCGTAAATAACTTAACAATTACGGAAAAGCCTACACAACCGTTGACACCATTTGAGAAATTCGATAAAGACTTTTCGGCTCTACAGGCATTACTTATTGGATTAGAAGTAGGATTAGCTATTGGTATAATTGGTACATATATATGGTTAAATAAGTTCTGTAAATGTGGTGCATTACGGTGTACTAGACCGCAGAGGAGGCAAAGGTATCTAAGAGGTCAAAGACGTGATGGTGACATGAGAACGAACTTACTGTGGAGTACTGTAGTCAATCCAGATACAGAAACTCCACCTCCATATCGCAGGGACTTGTCATTACCTGATGGTAGTCCTCCGTTCCGCGCCTATGGTCTACCTTCTGGAGTGACAGAAATTCCATTACAGATAGATGCGATTCGATTGCCTGACCGAGGTGAAACACCGCCTCCTCCATATAACGAATGTCGCATTAATATATGATTTATGACTTTTTAAAATTAGTTTTAACACATAAGCCAGTAGCAAGCTGGTAAATCTACAAACTGTGCGCAGAAGGGCAACGTTTCATATTTCTTAACGACGACATCGCGGTATTGAAAAAAAAACTGATCTCTAAACTCCCTTTTATTGCTATTGGAGCTGCTTCTCTCTTAACTCTGTGTCGTAAGTACTTAATGTTAATTAAATTTATTGTGATATGTCGATTAAGATTTTTACGTTATATTTGCGAATTGTTAACTATTGTTAATAATAACTGTTTAAGTCGATATTGTAGTGAGTGAGTTCTAGATTAATAACAATGCTTAGTTATAAAATCCTTTTTTATTTATAAATATCATTATCACATTTGATTCATTAACAAAATTAAATGATCTGTCATAATATAAAAGTTAATACAATATGCTAATTCAGACTCATAGAATTTAATATAAATTCTCTAAAATTAAAATACGATATACATAATTTGGGTAACTATATAATTTTGTACATAACACAACCGCGTGGCAATTTAATATTCATAAAGTATGGCATTACGATGGCATATCTAAAATGAACTCTGGTATAAATATATTGAACTATTTCAGGCGCCCAAATTGTTGTCAAGTATTTAACGCAAAATGATAACCTAAACACAAGAACATAGAAATAAGAATTAAAAGAGTTATGAATCAATTATCCTATTCATAAATATCAATATTTGTAAGTGATTGGAATGTACAGTTCATTTTTTTAAAACAGTAGAATGTTAATATAAAAAAGTATATACACCCATTTTGGCTATAAAAGGAACTTAAAAAGGAAATGCATTTTTTTAAAGTATACCAAAGTCGGTAAAAGAAAATGTATCCTAACCAAATGCTATTCCAATAGCTATCAAACATAAATATATTTAAAATTACTATTAATATTATATATAAAACAATACAGATCCTATTTACATTGACCTAATTCTAATATAATACATAATCAGGCACATCATGGCATATCAAATCTGATTATCACCCAAATATATTCACCATTACCGTTAACTTAGTTTATTTTGTTGTATATATTTCCTTACACATACAATTGCACACTTCTTCATCAGTGCCACATGATACAGTCGATGCAACAGTTTCAGACCTAGAACTACATATCACTTTAGATTAAAATTGTTTCAACTCAACAATCGCCCATTTGAGGTAACTAATTGTTGAAACCCTTGATTTGAAAATAAAGCAAAATTTTATTTAAGTGTATTTCAGAGACAGTGTAACACCCAGCAATGCCTCATGCCGCTCTTTATGGTTAACAGTACCTGTTAACATTACGATGATAATATACAACAATCAGGTGGTTTGCTTTTTTGCCTAATTCATATCAAAACAGGTGCCAGAGCTAATTAGAGTTTTAGCACCAATTTATCGTATTGATGGAAGCATGCAAATTCAAACCAGACTCTTATCCCTACATATGGCTAAACTTAGTAGTACTAAAAGTACTGATAATTAATAGAGCCAAAAACATACTGTCGACGCATTCAAAAGTGATATAAACATTATACGTAAGTTTGTTCAAAGTTTTAAACTATATTACACATCTACGGTAGCATCTTCGTTTTCTAAGGCCAGTTGGCTAATGTTCACATAGTCTGGATGATGCGAGAACACGTCTACTAGTTGGCTGAATGATGGTCTTGCATCTGGGTTATACGCCCAACAGTCGAGCATAACTTGGTAGATTTCTTGTGGACAATTCTCCGGTATATCCAGGCGCTTGCCACTTTCTACTATTTGTATAGCCTGTAAAATTGACAGGAAAAAATGTCAGGTCTATTTACGGTTGTACATTGAACCATCCAATGCAGTAAGATGACATACAAAACACCTCTAGATAAAAATAGATATAGATAAATAAACCCTTATCTGTTAACTCCTACAAAAAGAAAGTGAATTATATGTCTTTGTTAAAACTGGTACTTGTTTACAAAAAATAAAATAAAAATGCTTTGCGAAATAGTTTAACTCTTATATGTTAATAATAGCAGCACGTTAGGCTGTTACGTGTCTTAGCCTGCACTTCTAAATAGATAACACTGCCTGCTTTGTTTTTTTGCAGTAATATATAAAGAATTAAAATAAAATTAAGTTAACTACAAACCTCGATTCCTCTCATATCTCCATATGGCTGTTTGCCGTAAGAGAACATTTCCCACAACGTTACACCGTAGCTCCACACATCACTAGCGTGACTGAATGTTCCATAGTTGTAAGATTCAGGAGCATACCACTTGATCGGCCACTTGCCGCCTTGACTAGCCCTGTAGTATGAACTGTCCGTTGATAAAGCTCGAGATAGACCGAAGTCGCTAATTTTAGCTTGATGTCTACAAAAACAATACAATACTGTTTATAATAAAATCAATTGCAACTGATATACCACACAATACTTCAGCCTCTTGCTATTGTTTGATTTTATTTCTATTTTTTTTTACAAAAGGACAACACATAGACAAGATACAAGGAAAACCTTTTGTTTAATCCACGGGCAACAATATTTTTGTATAGTGTGTTGTCCTGTGTTACAGATCATATACACTTAGAATTCGCACAATTTGCATTATGAATGTGAAATATAATTATTTAGTTAATTTACGTCAGGTATTATATTTAGCAAAAAGTAAGTGAGGTATTTTTACATTACCTGCTAGCAAGTAGAATATTTCTAGCGGCTAAATCGCGATGAACGAAACGCAGCCTTTCCAAATATCGCATTCCTGCCGCCACTTGGCACGCCCACAGCCTCAGTTCGTACCCGGGGGAAGCTTTCTCTGGATGGCGCACAAGGAATTCTAGTAAAGATCCTAAGGGCACTAACTCTTGAATCATTGCTAACGGAGGACCCTGTAAAGTACAGATGTTTCATCTATCAAAAGTCAGTCATGTTTATTTAAAATTCACAGTTTGTTGACATAAATACCAATAATAATATAGTGTGGTGTAAGGTGTGGTAAGACAGTTCAATCATTTGTAGATAACGATAAGATAGTGACATATGTATCAGTCAATAGTCTAGTTATTCTTAGAATATACTAACCAAAGACACACCAATGAGCCTGACAATGCACGTGTGTCTAACAGACATCATGACCTTGGCTTCGGAGAGGAACTCCTCCTTGTTGGTGTCAGTGTGCTGCATGTGCAGGGTCTTGACGGCGACCTGTTGCGCGGGCTGGTCGGGCGGCGAGTACGTGGCGCGGAGCACCGACCCGAACTCGCCTTCGCCCAGCACCGCACCCAACGTCAACTCCGACATAGGGATAAATTCTAAAAAAATATATTCATCTATACTAATGAACAGTTTCTTTGAACGCGTTAATCTCAGAAGTACTGACTGAAATTGAAAACATTATTTTAGTTTTGGATAGCCCATTTGTCGAGGAAGGCTATAAAACATCACGCTACGACCAATAGGAGCTGAGGATCAATGAAAATTTTTGCAAAATCGGTGAAAATTTATTTCTTTTAAGTTGCTCAGGTCAGCAGCTAGTGTTTAAATATAGCGACGACCTTATACTATTTTGATTTTCATTGTAAGGTTGTACGGCCCGTCGCCCATTGGGGCGGTACATATGACGCTCGTACCCAAAACTCAAATTATTAAATGAATGTAGTTATGTATGACTAGCTGACCCGCGCAACTTCGTCTGCGTCTCTCAATAGTAATAAATTTTCTCCGTTTTTGAAACATTCTTCATTGGTGCTCCGCTCCTATTGGTGTTAGCGTGATGATATATAGCCTATAGCCTTCCTCGATAAATGGGCTATCTAACACTGAAAGAATTTTTCAAATCGGACCAGTAGTTCCTGAGATTAGCGCGTTCAAACAAACAAACAAACTCTTCAGCTTTATAATATTAGTATAGATTTTTATATTCTATCTAGGGCAGGTATTTCGACAACCTGCTAGTGATATTTAAATTAACGAGAAGTTAGTCATCTACTAGATTGACATACTTAAAGTGTAATATGTTTTCAGTTTATTGCGTTTCTGTGATTTATTGGACGCAATCAATATGGTTTTTTTTTTTTACATTAAAAAATTATTATGTCGAATATAGATCAGGGTAAGACCAATTTAAAAACTACTTTTATTTAACTAAACATTGAATAGTACGTACGTACTCTAAACCACCAATTTAATTAGTCTGAAGTCAAACCTTAAATCGAAATAATCATGTTTTTTTGCTATGTGTGAATCTAAGGCTCTTAATATTCTTTTCAGATTTATGCCCCAAATTAAAAATAAAACGAAGAAATATGTTTGTCATATTTTATAATAGTGGCTCTAAGGCATTTGATAGAAAATTTGATTGATTATGTAGGAAATAAAACAAACTATACATCAGAAAATCGGCATATTTTATCAAAAGAGTAATTGTAAAAATCAGCCAAAGGTAAAATAAAAGCCAAAGGCTCGGGTTAAATAGAGACAAAGGAAAAAAAAATTGCTGACTTAACGATTATTGCAATTTTACTTTATACTCGGCCAGTAAACGTGGTAGGCCAACACTGTCATTTGAGGAAAGTAGTGAAAAAACGAAGCCTGACAGCACATTTGCGTTCAGAGGCAGGGCCTTCCCAACAGGTAAATATAAAGAAGCCAGAGTCGTTGCACAACTTGCAAGTAGCTCCCAGTATGCGAAGGATGCTTTAATATAGTTTCTACTGTAAAAACAACTAAGTTATGCCTCGTTATGCCCCATCGTTAATTATTGAAACAGCTTTCGTGTGAAACTGTTTCCCTGGCGTGCCAGGGAAACACAGTGCGGGTGCCGGGTCCATCGCGTGGTAGATGGGGGCAACACATGCGACTTTATATATATATATATATATTCGTAACATGTTTGGTTCCGTTACGACTTGCGGGTGAAGAAATTGAAAATCAATTTTTCAAACACAACAAGAATTTCCGTAATAGGGCATGTGCCTGGATTAGATCGAAAACATTAAGAACGGACAACCTTACCGACATAATTAATCGTTTATTAATTTCTTCCGATCCAATTATATTATAACCCGTAACCGTAAATTACCTTATTACGAAAAAAAAAACTATAGTTTGTATATGTCGAATATGCTGAAATAAAAATTATCGAGATGACGATCACTCAAAAATAGTTTTTATTAAGTTTTGCGCATGAACACTTATTTTCTAGTATAATTTGAGTTTTGGGTCCCGTGCGTCGTACGACCTATCCAAAAACATACAGCTTCTTCGAGCTACCGCAATGACAGTCCCGTTCTCCATCCCCGATGTATATACCCTAAGCTCCCTTGCCGTATCCGTTTTAATATAATAATAATATAATATATTCTACCACATACACACAACGCTATCTAGTCCCAAACTAAGCAGAGCTTGTACTATGGGTACTAGACAACTGATATAAATACATATATACTTTTTTTTTTTTGTAAATACATACATATTATACATAGAAACACCCAGACCAAATCAAACATCAAATGTTCATGCACACAAATGTTTGTCTTGAGCGGGAATCGAACCCGCGACCTTTGGAATAGCAGTCCGTTACACAAACCACTATGCCATCCAGTTGTCGATCGTTTTCATTACCGCATTCTTTTACCATCTCATAAAACGTGTGCATTCCCAAGGAAGGTGGACGTGGACAGACAGTTGTGAAAGAAACTAGCCATGAATAACCCTTTACAATGTCAGATTGAGTTAACCTCAAATAAAATCAGTAAAAGGCCAGAAAGATGTTTATGGTGATGAGAGTGATGATGTTTTAATGAAACTATACTAAACGGTAAATAATCAGTCAGTGCCTTGTTTAATAAACTGCTATTATGATTATAGAATATTGTTAGCTTTTAAGATAAGAGTAAAGTCATAGTAGCTAGATAGTATTTTACCTTGAAGTGTAGATAGTTGGCCATCAGCATTTACAGATATTTCATTATAGTTTTCAGCCAACGTTACTATTGCACTGTTATTAGCTGGTACTTTATACGTATCATTATCTTCAGGCATATCATCATTGTTATTCATACTATCATTTCTGAAGTCGGACGAGAATGATAGATTTCTTGTAAAGAGATCAAACATGTTGTTGTTGTTTAATATGGGTGCCTGTTTGTCGTTCAGGATGTCATGTTTCACTAACGACAGTGATTGGTTCATATTGGCTCGGCTGGCTGATAACTTTTTGGTACGTGGCATTGTGGAAAACTGAAACACGATATTAATAGTTAGTATGTTTTAATAGCAATCATATCAACAATATCGAATCCAGATAAGTAACTCAGCGCTAATGTTTTGGTTCATTTAGAGTTTCCAATCTTTTCTATATTATTTTAGATTTTGTAAGTTTTTAATATTTTAGTTAGATATTTTTCTTTGGGATTATATATCCCACATATAGTAAGTCTAGAAGATCAGGGAATAAAGAAGTTTAAGAATTACCCTTACAGAGATTTACTTCTTTATTTTTTCTTTCTATGAAAATATTATTATAGCTATGCTATATTATAGCTATGCTATCATAGTGGATACTAAGTGGTACTGTAATACACTTACCTCAGGTAACGGTGGTTTGGGTTTAGGTGGGACAGGAGTGGTTAATACTGTAGGCAGACCATCTGGTACAGAACTGTAATGCTCTATCAACCTTTCAAGACATTCTAGGTATGGTCCATTATCTATGAACATCCAGTTATGCTGAAATTTAAAAGTCAACTAGAGTTATAGCTATCAAACTGAATATAATGGTTAACTAGCGCTTCTAATGTAGCACTATATTTCCTTAGTAATTAAGATTGCTAGCCTTGTTGATGATGTTTGAATTATATAGAAGACTATTAACTTCAAATATCCTTTTTTCTTTAAATACTCTGTGTGATAATTCCAATACCAGTAAGTAAACCATATGTATTTGATTTAAATGAAGGTGGCCAAAACAATCTTGTAGTAAATATTTTATACACATTGTGGGAGTTATTTGGAATCGAAACCATACTGGTATCTCAGATCAAGGGAAAAAGTCAAAATTGAACTTTGCGAATAACGAAGTGAGACCGGTTTTTTAAACATGTGTGCATAGGTCATCATAATTTTATTCAAAGTATTGGTTTCTAAGCTTACTTGTATGTTGCAATTCCATACATCCTACTATCTATCTCTTGTAGGTTGATTTTTACACAACACAATTCGACATTTTTACTTGTAAATATTGTGATGGCATTTTGATGAAGAATGATGAGAGAAAATGACAATTACCTCTTGCCTAATAATAAAGTTGTAAGGTGTATTTTCGCTCAGCATTGTGAGCACATAAGCGCTGTTATGCCTTTCGCTGTACCTCACTAAGAACAGACCGTCGGAGATCTTTCCTTCCAAGCTGTGTGTTTTACAATACTCTTGGAGTGTCTTCACTGCTTCTTCGCGGTTCAGTGTGCCATGGTACCATTGACTTTTAGACGTTTTTGGTTGCTCAGGTTGGTAATTTTCTGTAACGAATATATATTTGCATTACAAAAAAGTAGAATATTAATTAGTTGTTTACTCTGTGGGATATTGATGCCTTTAAACATTATAAACTAAAATTATATGTGGAGGCAAACTGATAAAAAAATACTAGATAATTTCAGGCTCAAAATACATACAGATTAATAGAGATAGAGATATAAAATAAATACAGATAACTTACTCAAGAAGTGGTAACATTCGTTATGTCCGCATTGTTTTGCCAAATCTGCAGGGGTGTCGTCTGTTAAAGTTCTGGGTCGAGATGGCGCCTTAAGCTTTAGTAGAACCTGGAACAACGACAATAAATTTCTTAAAGAGAAAGGAGAAAATACATCACAAAGGTAGACATGCATTGTTTCTATTATTTGATTACCCATACTGATACTGCATGGATAAATGTTCATTCGCTATACTAATCAAACTGTAAACAGGCCCTTGGACAAAGGTGAATAAACTTAATTTATCTTACACGCTTACAATACGAAAAAGCGAGGATTCATTTTTACTAAATAATATTTTTTTTCGGACATCTAACACACAACGCCATCTAATTTCAAACCAAGCAAGAGCTTGTACTATGAAAGCTAGATTGACTGATAGAATACTTATATACTTTTTGTTTGTAAATACATACCTATTATACATAGAAAACACCCAAACTCCGAAAAAATATTCGAACCCGAGACCTCAACACAGCAGTCGCATACGCTACCATTGCATCACCGAGGCAGTCTATCAATCGTGATTTCCCGAATTACTAATTAACAATTGTAGTTGAAGTCTCGGTTCTATTGCGTCTTTTGTTTTCAATATTAGTGGGGTCATATCCCGAACGAAGGAATCACATATTAACTTATTTACTTTAGCAACTTCATACATAATGTATACTCACACCTATGTTCTCGAAAGGGTACCTAGAGACGTATTTAAGGACTTCATTTTGCTAACTATAAGTTTAATTTCACTCGGGTGATAAGGTGCCAGCCTATTGCAGTTAACTGGGCAGTTTTGGCATTAAAGGCATCTAAAAATTAAGACTGTATTGAAAGGAAAGGTAGATAAATAAGGAAAGCCGACTGTGAAATGAAAGTTTAATAAGGGAAGGGAATAGCAGAAAAACTAAACCTATGGAGGAAAGGATAAAATATACTCTAACTAGGCTATGTGCTCCTCCTGCCCCAGATTTAAAGAAGGGGAAGCCCGTAAAGTGAGTAAAGATAAAAGTAAGTGGCGGGTTATTTAGTTTGAATACCTCGAAGTATTAATAAGAGTTTTGAAATACATCGACTTACCTTCACACATTCTATGTGTCCTCTCTGAGCGGCGTCGTGTAGTGGCACTTTGCCGCTGGGCGCGTGCCTCATCTGGTAGTTGGCATTGCCTTTAGTTATTAAAAGCTCTGTTGTACTAGGCAGGTTGTTCTGACATGTGTACTGTAATTAAAAATAATAAATCTTAATATTTTAATAGTATACCTACGTCACTAGTTTTAATTATGAAGGAAAAAGATAATTCTTTTTATTACATAATATCTGTATTTTTTAGCTTCGCGTAAAACAAGGATTGCTTCCTTCGTATGCCGTGCTAACAATTTGGCTATCCAGGAATCAAATACATGACAACTAATGCTAACATTGGAACCAAGTTATGATAATGCCCTATCGAAAGGAGCAATTCTTGTAATTAAAACAATAGTAGATCTAATGTATATAGAACACAATAAAGAAAAATAAATAAGCACATTATCAATTTATTATGGTATGTGTTACTGTTTGTTCTGATTTTATCATTGTCTGGTAATTCTCTGATACAAACCACTGTTTTCTTTACCTTACTGGTTTAAATATAGGTTTATTTTTTTTTTTAATCAAAACCTCTGTTTCATAAAATTGTCGAACAACTATTCGAAATCGGCAATTTAATAAAGGTACACAAAATTAACACAGAATTAATAATATTGTACCACATTCACCCAACGCCATCTAGTCCCAAACTAAGCAGAGCTTGTACTATGGGTACTATACAACTGATATAAATACATATATACTTTTTTTGTAAATACAAACTTATTCTACATAGAAACACCCAGACCAAATCAAACATTAAATGTTCATGCACACAAATGTTTGACTTGAGCGGGAATCGAACCCGCGACCTTTGGAATAGCAGTCCGTTACACAAACCACCACGCCATTCGGTCGTCGAATTACCGCAAATATACCTTGCTTTTTAAAATGTAAATGCCCGTTTCCAAATAGTTACTGTTTGTGAGAAAAAATCGGGCAAACACACTCAAAGCCATTCTTTGTATTAATAATATAATTTTAGAGGCCTTACACAATGCTATCTAAACAAGGCCTTTGCGGAACACGGATTTACATTCTTTTTGTTTAGTAAATACATTAGGTATACATAGAACAACCAGACCAGTGTAGATAGATATATTCACTGATTGAATCACTGCCTGCCGCATCGCAAGATGTCGTCAATTAAAACATTCATTCTTAATTCTTCTTAAATTGAACGTCGTCATTAAATTGTACTCCCTGCTAATATTGTAAATAGTTCGCGGCTATGTTACGAGTCTGTCTATCGTAATATAATACTTTAGTTCAAACAACTTACGTGCAAAGGCGTATAACCGAACGAATCCCTCACATTGACTGTAGCACCACTCTCAATCAACTTCGCGAGTATATTGTCTCGACCAGCTCTAGCCGCAATGTGTACTGCTGTCTGACCATCTTGGTTTTTTGCATCTCGACTACGGTAACCACAGGCTAGCATTTGTGAGACTATGTTGTAATCTCCAGCTTCTGTGGCACTGTTGACGCAAAAAACAAAACATATAAAACGATTGATTTATTTAATGTGAACGGTATTAAATATAATTTATTTAGTATAGCTATCACATGACAATCATGTCAGACAACGTTCTAAAAGTTCGATAAAATTTCAATTATTAATAATAATAATAACTTCACACATCTCACACAAGGCAGTCTAATCCTAAACTAGGCATAGCCTGTACTAGTAATCAGTAAACGGCGTATCATTTGTTGTGTAAGCATTGTTGTTAACCAAAAATCTTATTAATATTTTCTGAATAAGAGGGCACATAGCGAAAATGAACACTGATATTATAAATGCGAAAATCTGACTGTTTGTTACAAATCACAGTGCACATAACGAAAATCCACACTGATATGCAAATTTAAATTTTACGCATGCGACGAACATAAGTGTAGAGAAAAGTATAAAATATAAGTTTGGCCGACTAAGTGTCCAGAGAAAGGTTTGTTAACTCAACCTGGAACATTGGCTTTCAAATAGGTACAATGGGAAATTGCTCGATTTCGGGAGCCATCGTATTTCAGTCAACTCGACCGGACCGGATTCTAATACGATCTAAAAAATCTAACTGTCAATCTAGAACTATAAATGATACATATTAAAAGTTCACACTGTGGTATTATAACATGATACAATGCATAATAAGGTAAAATTAACATAGCTAATGATATTACAATTAAGACAATGAATTCGCTAATAGATTTAATGAAGTATTTAAATATCAATAAGGAACAATGTGCGCGACAATGAATCATTAACATAAATAATGACTCATGTTGACAAACACAGATGTATCTGAACCTAATAGTTGTCAGTGTCAGAGATCATCAAACATTCTCAACATATGACTAATATCAGATCAACGAAATTTGTATTCACATGAGCTAAAAAAATTAAATCGGCTTAGTTGACAATAACTCGTAAAATTTTGTTCTTTTCAATGTTCATTTAAGTTAGGATTTCAATCATTATTTAAATCATTATCGTCATCATCAACAGCCTCTAATAGTCCACTAATGGACATAGGCCTCTCCTTAGAAAGTAGGTTTTGGCCTACTAAACCACGTTGGCCAGACATGTTGTTAAAGGGTTAGTTTGCTCCCTTAGTCGGCTATTACGACGGGATAAATTGGGGTGTATTCTTAATCCATCACCACACGGACATTATATTATTCATTATTATATAACATATTTATATATATATATATATATATATATATATATATATTTTAAATCTTTATTTTGATTTAGGGTTTTGATCCAGTAAGGATATGCCAACCGCATTTGTACCTTGATACAATATTACATATTTACATAATAAAATTATGTACAGCAATAGTTATGATGTTGAATACCTTGTGTCTTTTCATGTCATACATTTGCTTTATGGTTATTGTAGCATCATACTAATTCACTAATGACTGGGTGGCTTCTCACGGTCCGAACACACGGACACGGACGTGGGTCAGTCCACACCGACGCATCATGGGCAGAGTAGCAGGGTCATAAGTATACGGGATAACTTAGACCCGTCGTTCGTATAAGAGAGCATACCGAGCAGCCTCTGCCCCAGCAATATGTTTTTTGACTTTTCATTTTGAATTGACAAAATTTCATCGAATCTTAAGACCGACACAGACCAACAGGGACCATTGAAAGATACGAGGCTGACATGTTAAAAATAGAAGTTAAAAAGCCAGTAATGAAAGTATTACTAGTCTTTTTACACTTCACTGTGTTCTTACCTATTATTATTATTATTATACCGTGCTCATCACACAATATTTGTTCCCGGTGGGAATGGAACCTACGACCTCCGGCTTAGCAGTCAGGCTCACTAACCACTAGACCAACAAACAGGCCAGGCAGGTTTGGGCTCCGGTAAAGTTTTACTTAATATTGGATTAAGCCGAAGGTCGTGATATTACACCGGTTGAGCCGGCTGGTGTAACACTATAGAACTGCACTCAAATAGATCTGAGAAATGCCAGCGCCTTCTAGCTGTAAAGTCCGACTTGTAAAAATATTTGAAAAGATTTACTTGCAGAAATAAATATAAATTCATTTCAACGATTTTAGTTGTTCTTGGTCATAATAACTTTAAAGATTGGTCATAGTAAACTAATAATCCGTGTAGTGACGGATTAAGAATAGAGAGTGTCGCCACCCTTATTCATCCCGTGGGTGTCGAAGAGCCGACTAAGGGAGCAATCTAGCAAATCTGCAAAGAGTGAAAACCCTAAGCCTATGTCCAGCAATAAACTATTAAAGGCTGTTGATGTGATATGAGTAAACTTTTACTTTAATGGTTACAGTCCTAATTAGCATCAAATTATTAGCTATATAGCCAGGTGCAGTTTTAGTTAACTTTCAATATTTTTATCCAAATGATAATTAGACCTTATCTATTAAATATTCCCAACAGATTTACAATGGAATGTGATTACAAACTCTTGACACATAGTAGAAGCTGGATTCAATTATTTTGGACCACATTTGGTATTCATATCAGCATTCATTGCAAGACTTCTCTTGTCATAAAACATGATAAGAATATTTATGCTATAATCATTATGTCTGTATTATAATGTTCAACATATGTTGTTGCAATCACTGTGCTTCTCTTAGTATTTATTGAATAAACATATTGAACAATTCACTCAACAGGAAATTGTCAATAAACTTCACAGCAATTGTATTAAATTACAACAAGCAGTAATATGCAATATAAATAAAATTCAGTACAATAACCCCTTTGCCGGGGCAATTTACTATTTTGATTGGTTATTGAAAATTCTTTTGTTTAAAATTAATAATTGTAATTAAACTACACACAAAAAAAAACAGTTAAAAATTCCACTTAAACTTCATTCAGCCACCCAATAAAACATAAATGGTGAATTAAGGGCAATCTATGATGCTCTCATCTTAATAGAACTTCCTTCTTTAACAAGATACTATCACTAATTTCCTTCCCTGCTCTTTTCAATTAGTGCATTGGCAAAGTGTAGATAAATTCGTGCAGTGAAAGCTTTTTAAATAATGTTATAGTAGCCAGTAGTATAAAATATCATGTCACCTTTTGTGTAACAATCTTATTGTAGTCTCTTACTAAAGTACCATTTAGATATTTTTGATGACATTTTTGTAGTAATATCCTGGTGTTCTAATTGAAATGTATTTTTTTTTAATATTATACATAGCATATCAACATTACTATATATATTACATATACTATCTGTGCCCTGAAACATTTCACTGTGGCATATTGTGGTTGCAAAAAAAAAAGCATTTTTGTAGCATGTCGTTATCATGTTAAAAGTTAGCGCAAAAACTTTTTATATTAAAAAGGATAGAATACATTTTAATAGGCAACTATTGATTAAATTGGTCATAATCTTGTTCTATTTCAAAGTCATGTATTCAAAATGGAACACGATTATAACCAAGAATCAATAGTTACTTATTAAAATGTATGATCTTGAAGTTTATAAGTTTCTACAGACTTGTACTAAGTATACAAATGCAATCTAAAAAATTATTATACATTTATCTAAATATGAAATGGAATATTTTGGGGTTTGTTACAATTTTGTCAGAATTTGGTTACCAGCACTAAATGTTAAAAATATATGTTTATATTAAGTTAAGTTTACATTCAACAATATTTCATGTCACAAAATGAAGATGTTGAATAAATAAAATTATCAATTATTAATATATTTGGTGTAAAAATGTCTTATGTTACAACTTCATAGAACAGGCTATAGAATAGGCTTTTGTGTATGTTGGTTATCACAGTAAAGTAGCCTATGTCCTTCCTCAAGAATTAATCTATCTCCATATCAAATTTCGTCTAAATCGGTTCAGCAGATAATGATTGCCCATACAAACTTCCACCCCCTTTTAGGATGATTTCTGGGATAAAAATTATCCTATGTCCTTTCCCAGGACTCAAACTAACACTATGCTGAATTGATTGGTTTAGCGATTTAAGCATGAAGAGGTAACAGACAGAAGTTCACACTTTCACATTTATAATATTAGTATGGATTAATAGAATATAATATTGAAGAGTTTATAATAATTTTTCAGACATCTAACACAACACCATCTAGTTTCAAACTAAGCAGAGTTTGTACAATGAAAGCTAGATTAGCTGATAGAATACCTTTTTTTTTTTGTAAATACATACATAATATACATAGATATACATATTAGATAACTATAAAACTGATCTTAATGAGCCTGTTGGTCTAGTGATTTAGTGATCCAAGGGGTTTAATGGATTTCCACCCAAGACAAACAATTGTATGATGATCACAATCATATTGTTCAGTCTGAGTGTCATTTTTGTCTATGATAACAGAAGTCTGCTTACCATAGTAAGAGCTCTGCCTAGTTTGGTATCTAACAGCTATGAGATGAGTTTATCATTAGACTTACCGATGCAAAAGATTAGTAGTGCCTTGGGTACGTGATTCATGAGGTGGTGGTTGCCCCTTACACACAACTGATAGCCTCGTCACTAGTCCATTCGAATCGCCACGATAGTGCTGTATAAGTGTATCCAATCCGTGAACTGTTGTGTGCTCTTCTATGGAGAAAAAGGCATCTTCTCCATGTCTTCTTATCTGATAATGTACCACTTCACCCTGTGCATTAAGGACAAGCATCATAATTGAAACCTTTCTGTCTTGTTACCCGTTTTTTTTTTACAGTTAAACCTAAACAAAACTGTGCCAAGTTTGTAAAAAGAAATCAAATTATTTTTAACAGAATCGGAAACATTTATTGTCATCACAACTTGTTGAACAATCAAAACAAAAAAACATTAAATAGTTTCAGTGTGAGAGTACTATTTATTTTAGTTCATGATAAAATAAAGAGAGTAGTCTAAAAGTAAGTCTAGTAAAGAGATAGTCCTTAATTTAAAAAAAAAGTCAGAATTGTCAGCTGATTTCACTATTTTAAATAGTTAGTATACATTATAAAGTAAAAAATATGTAGCTCTTTGAGGTTATAGAACCTTTTAGAACTGACCTGGTGCAGAACTGAGAGCACGTAATCACCATGGGAAGTGTTGCTTTCACGTACCAAAAACACTCCATCTTCACCCTCTGCAATTGCCAATATATTTTTACAAAGTGTCATTATTCACAATATTTTGTGAAACAATAATAATAAACAAATGTTGTTTATTGAAAAACCGACCTTCTTTCAGTAGCTTCTCAGCAGTGTCTCGTGATATTTTACCATGAAACCAGTTGACATTATCCTCTCTGTTCATTCTCAACAAAAAAGAGTTTGTCTGAAAAGTTAATTTATAACTTGTTCAACAAGTAATAACATAGATGACACAAAACTTTTCTTGAGCATTTCTCATCAATCAGGCCGCAAGCACATCCAAATGTGTAGTTTATTTAGCCAATATTACAAAAACATATTTTGTATAGAATTGTTTTAGGAAGTTTGACTTAGGTAAATAAATTTATAAACCAAACTTCTACACGTACGACTTAAAGTTTTTAGAACTGCTGTTAGCCATTTTTGTATCTATTTCGTTCTCACAAAGCAACTCGAATGTACAAAATGTGTGAAGAGAGGGAGATCTCGCCTTTGGTCTCGTTCTAAACAAGGTTTATTACGCCTTGTTAAAAAGAGATCGGTATAGTAGCGCACGATTATCTTATTTTTCCGTATAATATGGTAAACGTCAGGCTAACTACACTGGTCAAATAAGAAACTGATAAGAATTTTTAGAATGATTCACCTTGTTTTAAATTGTAATAAATTTTAAAATATTTTACCAAATATACTTGATTATTGATAATCACTAGTGATAAATAAAAACTTACCTTCAACAGTATGAATGACGTCATCGTTGTTATCATTATATCCAACTTCGGAAACACAAAAATATTTATAAATATTCCAAATAACTATTTTTAATAATATTTTCTTCGTTTTTTATTGACACACATATTTAAAATTCATTTATCTTATTTATAACTCAGCACAAAGTATTTCGTAAAAAGCGCAGCGCCGTGAACGGTGTGCGTCAAGCGTCAAGCAAGCAGCCGGCAGACAGGCGCGGTATCCCCGACTCTGCCTTCCACCGAATGACTCATAGCAAGGTCAATTCCGAGAAATGAATCACCAACAACGTACTCAGTTCTACAATGCTTTATGTAGTACGCATTCCCCCACAACACTCTTCGTTATTGTGGTTTTTAAACATACGTAATTAATAATGCTAGTAACTTAAATATGTAATATTTAAACATTATGAATTATTGTTGTTTCTTTGTTCTGTTACGTAACAAAAATCTTTATTTTATTATTACTATCGTACGTTGCTTGTAATACAGTGTGGTAGTTACAGGTCAATTATGGTGGAGTTATCACTGAATCATACCTAAGTATTCAATATAAATAATAAACTTTAAAAATAGTATCACTGACTTAAATACGTCATGATGAACAGATGAATTAATATAAACTGTATTTGTCATAGCTTAATTTTCCACCCTTAAGGGTGGTATTTTTTCTTCAAATTTCAATGTAACCGAACGGGAAGTCCACATTCTCAAAAAGTTTTTTTTAGATCGGTTCATAAATAACGGAGTTCTGGGGTAACAAACAAAAAAAACAATCAAATTCAGAAGTTCCTCTTGTTCTTAAGATCAATCAATTGATCTTAAGTACAAGAGGAACTTCTGAGAAAAATATTCTTCTATATCGTACTGAGTTCTGTCACATTCACACGACAAAATATCATACACCAATAAGTTACTAGTTATTAAATTACATATAGACATATACATAATAATATATACATAGATGTAACATTATTGCTACATCACAATTTTTAGAAGCAGTTTAGTTTAAAGTTTTGAATACCTATAGTACCTACTTACATAAATTAAATTTAATTAGTCCGTTTAATTCATTTTAGAAAAGTAGGTAAGTACCAATTCACAATAAAAATATATTGAAAAAGTATAACACTTTTTTTTTTACAATTTAAAATGTTTTATTTTTAGTACGGTTTGATTTTAAATTATGTTTTATAGTTCTTAAACTTTAATTTATTTTAGACCTACAAAGTTACCATGTTCTTGTAAGTGGTGAACATAAAAACATAAAATACTTACGAGTTTTTTTTGTGTTGTGTGTTGCACATCGTATCATCTATTAATACACATTGGTATTGAAACTGCAGTACCATACAAGTGCTCATTTATTTATTACACTCGAAATTTTAAGAGTTAAAAAGCTACCGGTGTTAGGTCGTTTCGACTTGAGCTAAAATATGTTGTACCCTATTAAATCGCGGAGAAAGACTCGAATATAAATCTTTCCAAATCCGAAAGCAATATAGGAAACAATAAATATCTTTATTCAGTGAATTAGATCTGCATATAAATATTTAACCTAAAAAGTATTAATCATAATAGTCCACTGCTGGACATAGGCCTCTTCTTAGAAAGGAGGTGGCCTGCTATACCACGCTGGCCAGACGGCTTGATATAGGGTTTGTTTCAAGTTTTTCTTCTCTTCGGAGTGGTGCTGTCCTGCGTAGTTTGCTCCCTTAGACATTGTCTTAGACTTGCAACACTCACGGCATTAATAGGGGTGACATTCCGTATTCTTAATCACCACACGGACAAAAAAAAAGTAAAGTAAAAAAGTAATAATAATACTTTTGGAAATTACTTTTCCTAAAACATCTATTTTTATAGTCAGGTAGATATTTTAGCATTATTTAATGAACACAAACACACATTAGATTTGGTTTACGCTTCGGAAAGATATTACTATGAATCCCTTCTAAAAAACCTCTTAAAAATTCAATGCTATGATATTGATAGGTTGAGGTCGAGGATGGTCAGGGCTGGCGGCGTTGGATCATTTTAATATAATATCACACGCTATCTAGTTTCACACTAAGCAGAGCTTGTACTGTGTAAGCTAAATTGACTAATAGAGTACATATATTTTTTGTGAAAACATACATATTACGAGTATTCATGGTAAACACCCAAACTCGAAACAAATATTTGCAGATCATGCGAACATTTGGTCCGGCCCGGCAATCGAACCGGAGACCTCGTCATGGCAGTCGCATACACTACCACCGAAAATATAAATGCTAATCGTAAAATGATCCATTGTTATCATAAAAAAAAAAATGGCTTGACGTTTTCTTTAAAAAGATAAACGATAGCATGGAATCTCTGGCGTTGCAAAAATATAGGCTATGGTGACCGCTTTATATCGCGGATATTCATATGTATTAATGTATGAAATTCAAGTAGGTATGCGCAGACGCCTTATTAAGACGATATTGCTTATACAATGAGACATCGATGAGTCATATGATCTGCAAATATTGCGAGTGATACCAATCTGTGAAGTGAATCAACATATCTGGGTGGCTACATTATTATTTAAACAGATTATGGTCATCAATACCCACTCCTTAGTCTATTTATAGCTCATCTCTATGTAGAGTATCACCATAGGCCCGCGTCCTGCACTATTGCAAAAGCTAATATTTTTTGTTAGGACGTAGGGATAAAAACGAACAGATTGATCACCAGGTAAGTGACTGCCGCCGCACATGGACATCTGCAACGTTCTATGAATGTACACCTACAGTGGCGGTGGGGGAGAATGATTAACAGCGGCTTTCATTGAGGCTGTGTTATGACTCCGTACAAACGGTTGATCTCCCGACGTTGACAGCGACAACTCCATATAGCAACGGCTTTTAGTTACAGAGAGTGGTGCGGTGACGTAATGAGCTTTAAGAAGTCAAATTCAAGCAAAAAATCTGTAAACAAGTATGCAAGTTACTAATATCAAATCAATTTTTTTTTCTTTTACTTAGTTTGGATCCCGTCACAACGGTTTATAATGATTCTGTAGTGCTATTTTTGTCTTTCACACTACCATTAAACAGAATATTAATTGCACATTAATATATTTTTGTTCTTTAAATTTACTTATTGGTTCTGGCGGTTTAAATAAGTTTAACTTACATTTTCAAACATAGGTAGGTAAACGTAAGTTAGATTAGGAAACATTCACTTGTCTAAATGCCATTCCATTCATAGACAAGCTGATTGCAAAAGTGTTACTAAGTCCTTCTAATGTAGGGAATTCTGTGTGGAAACGGTATAGAAAAACGTGGCATAAGTGTATCTATAACATGGCATCGCTATATCGGCATATATTATATGGTATAGTACGATATAGATACGAGAAAATGTAGAATTTTATCGAATCTATATCATTATTTTGCATAAAAGATATTTGATTTTGAATTTATATAATTAAGTTTTTAATTAATACACAGACTTTTGTTGAGAAATTAATCTTTTGTTCTTTTAAGAATGATTAGTAACATAATTTTGACTGAATTTTTTTTTTTATTGTTTTAAAACTCTTGATAATTATCAAAATGCAATGATGTTAATAATTTGGTCGAATTTAACTTTCGCGTTGTTGTAGCTAACGTTTTGGAAATTTTTGTTTGATCGCGTGTTGTTTAAGTTACAAGACCAGTACTTACCTGTAAGTACCTATCTATGACTACGAGCCACATTTGTGTAGTCAGATTTACTTATTGTTATGTACTTCTTCATTTTCTTTCGTTCGAAACCGATTCGAAACCGAAACCGATTCTGAGTCTGGTATGGACTTTCCTCTTTATGGTTTGTATTTGTCGTTTTAAATTAACTATTAAAAACATAGAAATTGCAAACATATGAATTAAATGAGGGCAAAGACATTCTTCATCATAATATTATGAGCAGTTTGTGTGAATTCCAAACAAACAAACAACAGTGACGCGTAGCTGGCTATGCATTCAAAACAAGAACACATAACCGAAGGAAGCAAGAATACAATAATACGTTAAAAAAATTGGTTGGCTGTAAAGTCGGTATACGGGCGAAAGTTTTACGTGACAACGACTTTGAGTGGTAAAATAATTTTAATGTGAATATTCATTCGTATAGTAGGAAGAAGGATGAAATAATAGTAACAATTTAAAACATTTATTTATACAAAGAATTATATTTAAAACATTAATTTATACAAAGAATCTCGCACTGAATTTCATATTAACAAAATTTTATTTTTTATGTCTGTCTCTCTCGCTCTTAGGCGGGCTAACCATGCCCGAGTGGAAGGGACGCGTGCCTCTCACTCGCTCTCATTGTGAGCGCATAACGTGAGCGGAGCGTAACGCAGTTTCTTGAAGTGTCACCCGGCAAACCAATTTATAAGACGTTGTCACGTCAAAAACAATATAAGCATAGGCGGTTAGCAATTTCTTGTTATTGAAAATTGAATAGTATGTTACAAACAATTTACTTTTGAAAATATTTCCGATTTCGGTGCGCTTTATCATAATCAGCAGTCTTTAATAGTCCACTGTTGGACATAGGCCTTTCCTTAGAAAGGAGGTTTGGCATAGTATACAACGCTGGCCAGACAGGTTGGTAAAGGTTGGTTAAAGGTTAAAGGGCTTTCCCCCTCAACTGTATCCTCACGTTGTCGTCGTGGGCGGTCCACAATGCGGTCTAATACAAAGCTTTTTTTTTGGTTTAGACGTGTGTACAGGACAACGTCTGTCGGGAAAGCTAATAGTTAATAAAGTTTTACTTGTATAATATTATATATTGCCAAATTTTTTACAATTATTAACTCGAAAATACATGTATATATGTATATTTTATAAAATACTAGCTTTACTATACATACTACTAAAAATGTATGAGCTTATGTCCTTCTACAAGAATCTCCACACCAAATTTCATACAAATCGGTGCAGCGGTTATACCCCATACAAACTTCCATCCACCTTTTTTCACCCCTTAAA